TGCATGTACTTCGGTAGAAAATGATTTGAAATGTTTGTGGACTTCTGAATCTTATTTTCTTCAGTATGGAAAAGAGAAAATCTCGAATAATATAACAGAATTTGAAAGGCAGTTACGGTTTATAAATGGAAGGTAATAGTCACTATTTTTATGGAAGTCCGAGGCTTTACGAGAAAATACACTCACTTCCAAAAGTTAAGCACGGAGAGGAAAATGCTAATTTCCGGAAGCCAATCAGAATTGAAGAGGATGAAATTCGCTGCAAAGGTAGATGGAAGTAGGCAAATATGTTAGGTAACAGACAATCGCGCTTTCATGTCAAGAAATATGCAAAAACGGCAGTCTTATAAGAAGCCATCTGTATGAAAAGTTGATTGTAAGTGCTGATAAAAGGTGTTTAAAACTTTCGTACAATTTGTTTTCAAGACATACGTGTTTCTATGACTTTCAGAAGACGAATGGAAGATTCTGAGCGCTGGCGTGCTGTGGGGCGCATTGAAGCAAGACAGTCGATCACAGATGTTGCTCTTTTCTTCGGCGTTCATCATTTTATAATTTCACGTTTATGGAAACAATTCCAAACCACACAGACAGTTGTCCGAAGGCCCGTAGTCGGTTACAACCCCCAAGGGTTACAACCTCCGCGGAAGATCGATATATTGCTATTGTAGCCAAGCGCAAAATCGCAGAGCGACCTCTACACGTGTGACATCTAAAGTTACATCTAAAGCGTGTGACATCTAAAGCGTCCATTTGTAAGGCCATATCTGCAGCTACTGTACCCCGAAGATTACATATGAGTGGACTGTACACCAGGGTATCTCGAGTTTGTGTTCTTCTATCCGTCCAATCAAGAGGGGCACGATTACAGTGATGCCGGGAACATGTCAATTGGAATGTGTCTGACTGGGGCAATGTCATGTTTACTGATGAGTCAAGATTTGCTCTGGAGCCAGATGACAAGCGTATAAGGATATGGCGTGAACAACGAACATGCAATCAGTCCGAAAACATCACGCATTCCGAGGCGGAAGCATTATGGTGTGGGCAGGGATTTCATTAGGATACCGCACTGACCTGCACATCTTTAAACGGGGCTCCTTTTTCACGGCTGTCCGGTATCGAGAATGAAAGTCCTAGAACCCATTGTGAGATTGTACGCTGCAGCAGTTGGTCCCGACTTTTGTTTTAATGGACGATAACGCACGTATCCATAGAGCTGACATCGTCGATGACTACCTGGAGAGTAGAGGGGATTGCGCGTATGGCGTGGACAGTATATTCGCCCCAACCTTAATCCCATTGAAAATCTTTGGGATGCTCTCGGCCGTGCTGTATCTTCACGTTGCCACCTCCAGCCACTTTTGTTGAGCTGGAAACTGCTCTACAAGAAGAATGGCGATTGCTTAATTCTGCGGTGTTGACCACCTAATTGAAAGCATGGTCACAAGGTTAAACTTTGTATATAGATGAGGGGGATCGCATACCCTATTAATGTCCTTTTTTTCATTTTATGCTGTTTACTTTCACTTTATACATAATTCTGTTTAAGTCTCCAGTATGTTCTTATCTGATAACTTACAAAAATTTAATATTTTTTTTCATTTCTGTATATAATTATTGATTTTGTTTTATGCATAAATATATATGCTATTTTCCTGCCGTAGTTTGAGTCAATCAAAGCAGTATTTGTTGATTTTTTTGCATTTTACATCTTCGTGCTTACCTTCTAGAAGTGATTGCATGTCTAATAATTTAGAAATCGTGATAAAAATTTGCTGCATTAGAAAAGAAGTTTAAGGGTGATGAGTTATTATTTGAGAGATATAATTCAGTTATGAAGGAACAACTAGATGACGGGATTATTGAAATGTGCAATTATAGTTATTTCACTGGATATGCAATGCCTCATACAGAAGTTTTCAGGGAAGATTCTTCCAGTACTAAAACTAGCGTAGTTTAAGATGCCAGTAGTAAACAAGGAAGTTGTTGTAGTCTTAATGAATGTCTCCTTCCCGAAAAGAATTTTAATGCTAATCTTTTAGACATTATTTTGAAATTTAGAGAATTGTGTCTTTAGTATTATTCTAACAAAATATATTATATATGTTGCAGATATTGCATATTGGAGATATTGCATGGGCATTTCTTCACATTCAAGTCGCGAGAGATGACCTAAATTATTTATGTTTCCTGTATTATAAAAATCTGCGACAAAACCCAACCCATAATCATGTATCATTTTAATAGACATTGATTTGGCGTCACTTATTTTCCTTACATTTTGGCTACAACAATTGAAACTCATATTAATGCTTACAAGAATATACAACCTCTCGCATATGAAATGTTGAATAGTTCTATTTATGTGGATGGTCTTTTTCATGGAAGTTCCACTGTTTAGGAAGCTTATGAGTTATCTTGTGAGACTGTTTTGATTTTAAAGGACGCAAACATGAATATGAAAAAATTTGATACTAACTCTAAAGAGCTGAAAGATTTATGGAAGAATTCTAATTCATTAATCGAAACAAATGAATATTCTGATTCACATTTAAAAGTATTAGGACTCAGTTAGAATAATACTAAAGACACATTAAGTCTAGACTTGAGGTCATTGTTATCCATGTTGGATATTAATGAATGTACTGAATGAAACGTACAGCCACAAAAATATTTGATCCATCTGGACTTATCTCTCCGTTTCTAGCTCGAGGGAAGTGTTTTTTTATAAGAGCTGTGGCAGTTAGGTGTAGAATGGGATGACATGTTTTCCGGAGAAATTAAATCAAAATGGCAAGCAAGGTGTAATGAAATTAAAGAACTTCAAATCTGAAGATTTCTTGAAATTATTTTCCTGGCACAAATCTGAAGGGGAAGAAGATTTACAGATCCATACATTCTCTGATGCTTCAGTAAAAGCTTTGGAGCGGTACCAGACATCGCATGCCACTTTTAAAACCAGCTTTATAGTTTCCAAATCACGAATTGACGTTGACCCGACTAGAATTAACGGGTGCAATAATTGCAGCGAGGTTAGCCAAATATTGTAAAAATCTTTTTTAAAATTTAGAAAAGATTATTTCATGAAGTGATTCAACAATTGTGCTACACTGGATAAAAGGCACCTCATCTAATTGGAAGCAATTTGTTTCAGAGTATTAGAAATTCAAGAAACTACAGATCCCAGTGCATGGAGACACTGTATAGGCAAAGACTTCTCAACAAAAGGAGTAACTGTTAAAGATTTGCTAACTTAAAAAAAAATGGTGGGAAGTCCGAAAATGGTTATTGTATCCGGGGAATACTTGGCCCCAGCCAAAGAGATATGAATATGACTCAATAGACCAGGAGTTTGAAGCTGAATATCAAGCTTCTGCTATAATTAGCTCCGCAATTGTTTCCAAACAGATAATTTATGTTAATAGTTTTAGTTGCTTACGCAAACTACTGAAGGTTGTAAGGATCTTAAGTTTTACTAACGTTTATTTTATTTTAAATCTTTACTATCACTTCTTATTTTCTACTTCCGGCCAGAAATAAAAGCGTTAACTTTTATGCAAATTGTCTGGCGAACGCCAAGTACTTAAGTGTGGCTTTTTTGCCAAGCGAGAGAGAGGAAAGAGTTAGTCGAAGCAGGAGCTTGCCTTAGAAGTTTTATTCAGTTGCGTTTGCCTTCCAGGCCAGAGGTTTAATCTCGTGATAATTTTAAACATATTGTAGTTTAACAGTTATCTGTACTACATACGGCTTCCTGTTAATATCCGGCCAATCTTCCACGTTATTATTCCAAGTTAAGTTAGAGTTAGTTAAATATTTTTATTCTTACGTTCAGACCACAAGTATAGTTGGTCTCGTATTCCGAAGTCGGAAAATATTGTAAAGAGTGAAAAATAAAGGGTTTTGTAACCCTTCTGTGTATCTTGTCTACTTTCCACATTTATTGAACATAGCTTAGTAAGCTCCCTGTTCCGAGTCAGGTTGGCAGTCCCAAAGAAGTAAGCGGACATTGAACCTCATAGGGGGCCCAACGAAGAAGAATAACATGGCCGAGTTTCAGAAGAACCTGTGCTGCCTGCAGAGCGGCTCAGAATCAGAAATGCCAGCTGCCGCCCTGGAAGGATTGGTTACATCGTCCAGACCCCGTGCACGAGTTTCAAAAAGTACTTAGCTACAGCGCTTTGAGGGCCAAGCGCTTAATGGTTCAAATGTATAGGCGGAAGTCTCTTGGGTCAAGCAGGAAGTCCCCCTATACTTACGAGAATTTCAAGACTGCCCTAGTAAAAGCCTTCCCTGTCGTAAGGGATCGTGCGAAATTAGAAACGGAACTTTTAGCATATATCAGCAAAGAATCGAAAATCTCACAAGCTTTATTTTAAGAAAAATTCACGTCTTCAAAACTCTGTATGGAAACCGTCGGATATGAGATAATCAAGTGATTTTGCTGTGAGGTTACTTCCCCAAGTGCAGACTTTATTGAATAAGAATCCGACTACACTGGAAATTATTTGAGCTAGCAATCCAGTTTGAAAGTAGACGAACGGCGGACATTGAAAAGAAGACGCCAAAAACAACCAAAACCAATTTGGTGCGCCAAGACCACAGCAAACAAGCACACGGCTACGGAAGTAAAGCGAATCAGGGGCAAGGAAACCCGAGCATTCAAAAACAGCCGGAAAGTCGACAGTTCAATAACAATCCAGGAAAAAGTCTAAGGCCAGTGGAAAAAGAAGGAACGCATGGAAATGAAAAATGATTTAAACTAAAACGGATTTCTGCTGACGGGAGGGTGCGGAATTCCGAAGGCCAAGAAAACCCCTCTTCCTTCAAGTTAAATACAGTAATGGTGAAAAATTTGACTCTTTCGCATGAATTCTTTACCGGCAGGCCTTGAGGTAAATGTTTATGTAAACAAATCCTTAGAATTCTATGCTATGGATAGTTTTGCTTACTAGGCTAGCTTATTATTTCCTTTTCCTCGGACTAATTACGCTTGGAATTTTTTCAGTATAATATGTTTTTGTATGTGATGTGAATAAAAATAAGAAAAACTTGACAACATGTTCTTCATTCAAGCGTCTCGTTTAATTTTCTAGTGATATTATTATTTTTTGCATCTAGCATTACATTAATTTTATCATATTTGCTTTGCATTTATGCAATTAATTTCATATAATACAGTTATCCTATAGTTTCAAAAAGGTATGCTATACTTCTTAATTTTACCTTTATTCTTTCTGAACTATAACAGTTGAATTTATAATTGTTGTAATTAAATAACAAATATTTCAATTTTTTAATCAATTCTAGCTTATTTTACAATAGAATTACGATATAAATAAATGCAATAAATTTTAGGGATTTCTCTAAATTTTTATAATATATGCAACATATTTATCAGTACTACATTTCAAAACCATTTTCTTAAATTCAAGATTTCTAATGATATTTTTAATTTCAAGAAAAATTATAACTGCTTAAAATTTTGTATCCATATAAAACTACTAAATTATAAACTTATGCATAGATTTTCATTCTTTGTGCTTTTGATGTTTTCGTCATAAACAGACTTTTAAAGATATGAAATCTAGTTCACTTAAACAACGCTTAGTAATTTAATTACGTTAATTATTTACGTTTTAGAACAAAGAAGGTTATCGTAAATGGCTGCGGATGAGTACTACTACATTTGAGGAAATCTTAAGACTTGGTTTCTCCGATAATAGTAAACCAGAACACCCACATGAGATTGTCCACACCAGCTGAAGAAAGATTAACTCTAGCTAAGGTAAGTGTTTAACATACTAAACCATTCAGAATACGAATCTTTTTTAAAATGAAAGCAACTTTTGCAGTTAATTCTGTCTTCCTTTCCAGAAGAAACACAATGCTCATTGGCATTCCAGTTTCGAATCGCTCCAAGTGCTATCTTGTCAGCTGTGTTTAAAGCATCGTACAATGTTTTGAAAGGTGTCATTGGGATGAAACTGCGACAGATCTTCATTTAAAGTGTAATCTCCCTATGTATTGTAGTGCTCTAGATGGTTAACATATTAAAATTAAATCCGCCTGGTTCTGAGTCAAATTATTATTACTACAAGAGTGATTACAGTGTAGTTTTACTAGCATCGATCTCGAACTATTTGCATCACCTTTTGAGCAGGAAAAGAGGAAGGAGAAATTTATGTTCTCCTAAAGAGTGTTATCGCTAATATTTTACTGATATGCTACTTTATTTACTACAAGAATTATATGTGTATTTTTTAAATTTCACGTTTTTTTTATTTTTAAATTATTAAAAAAATTAATTTTTTATATTTAATGTTATTTCTTCTTATAAATTAATTCTTTTTTAATAACATTCATTATTTTTAAAAGCATTAAATTATTTAAAAAGCTATTTGTTGATCATAAAAATTAACGCATTAATACGTTTGAAAACACAACAAAACTATTTACTACAATACTGTTTGTCTAATAATAATAATAATAGTGATAATCTTCAAATTTATCAAGAATTAAATAAATGATACGTTTGTAGAAGTATGTATTAAATCTTTTCACTTCTCTTTAAAATTTAACCGTTCATCATATATGCGATCCAAATTTATATTGCTTCCACTATTATTTTTCCTTACATTAACATGTCTAAGTGATCGTCTTTCAAAAGAAGAATTCCTTGTTAATTTTTACAAAATTTATTAAACTGAAACCTTGTTCACAGTCAACACCAGGCACCAAAATTGTTCCATCAATAATAATTTGTTTTGAAAGTTCGGAAAATTGTTCATTCTGTAATGAAAATATTACAATATTTGAAAATTTATTAACAATGAACACTTAATTTTCTTTACCTGTCCATTCTTGTACTTCATTTTCAGGAAATCTCTCTTTTAAATGACAGCAAAGTAAATTTCTAAAAGTTAGCATAGAATAAATGTCAATTTCAATATTTTTTCCTCCGGTTTACAGAGAAGAATTTTCATTGCATTACTCTAAGAACTCTACTGTGGTTAATAAGTTATTTTATTATTAAGTTGATTTATTTTACCAATAACAAAATGAAATAATTAAGTAGTGTTAGCTTTCGTTGCCAACAAATTTTACACAGAGCTCAAAACTTCTTTACAAACGTTATTCATAATACTTAAATTAAATTAAATTAAATTAAAATTCGGTATCATTCAGTTTTTGTATACAACATTTTGCAACAGGATTACTTGCTTTACCTTCATTAAAATATTTAATTAATGCTTCGTATTTTTACGTGCAAAATATCTAGAAAACCACTTAACTTTATTGACATTTTAAAGCTAATAGCTTCATTTTTAAAGCATTAACAATATCTTGACATTTATCTTGTTTTCTTGAAGATTAGAAACGTTCCCATCAAAGTTTAAATATCTCTCATTAATTTAACTTCCTTTGAAGCAACGCAGATACAAAAATCTTCACGATGTGCAATACAGGGTTCTTGAACCAAATGTGATATATTTTCCTCCCAAATGTAGTTTTGCTGCTACTCCACTTACCTTCCCTAGCATAATAGCTGCTTCATCAAAAGTAAATACAGTCATCCCTCAGTTATCGCGGTTAATAAGAACTATCTGGTAAAAACTCTAATTGTATGCCAGTATTGAAAGAAACAATCAATCTGATAAAAAATGGCTACGAATTGTTTTGAAAATGAGGAGTAAAAGGTTACCAGCGAGGATATTACGTTTGGCATCAATTGTACCATTATTGGAGAATTTAACGCCTGCGCCGGCAAAACGGAAATGTACTTAATTTGTTAATAGTAACATTAAAAAAATATTAAGAGCTATTTACAATTACAATTTTTTTAAGGTTGTTTATACGCTTCACCATACGTTAATAATTTTATATGAGAAAATGACCCAGAAATGAAACATTTCTACACTTCCAGAAAATTTAACCGTGGTAAAAGGTGAAGGGCTCCCTTGGTCAAAAACCGTCATAAAAGCTGTTATAATTTTGTTTACTTTTAAGCAAACAATGAATATTTTATTTCTGCAGATAAAACAGAAAGTTGCTCTATATTTAAACGAACAATGAAGCTTTTAATTAGTATAGCAATTTTTACTTTTCTCATATTTTTTACAAGCAGTAATTTTTAATTTTTCTATTTACAGCAGTAATTCGTTAATTTTTCTATTTTAGTACCGTAATAATTTATATTTTATCTTTCTTTTTAAATATTTAATAAATTTAAATATCTAGTATTAATAAATTATAATAATTAATTCTATTTTAAAATAATTTCATTAAAATTTGCATCGCGTGAAAGAATTGTAACACAGAATATTATGTTGGAATATAAACTTCAATTTTTTCTTCAATTCCTTCCTTCGATTTCTTTTCAATAGATGGCGGCACATGTTCTAAGCTAAAATGTCAGTTGAAGTACTCTCCCTGATTTCGATTTCTTCAAATATTTCTTCATTTGAATATTTCTTCAATATTCAAAATTTCATAATGATTACATATAATAGTCCATCGCTGTAGCCGAATAGGCCCTCTTCCTTTCAGCAGTACCTGAAAGACGGATAAGTTCTAATTTATCGGTTCGCCAGAGGAGGGATCAAAGCAACCTCTTAGAGGATAACGACTAGTTAACGATTTGGGAGTTGATGAAAAAATAAATTGTAGAAAGTTGTAGGAAACAAATTGTAAGATCTAGTCGTAAAATCCAAAACGAAAGATTTCGTCTAAACCGTAGACAAGGCAGGAGCATTTTTTTATTATTAAGAAAATGAACAACATACGACGTGGTAGTGCATTCACAACGAACTCCATCATCTAAACCTAAAAATGTGCAGTAGGATAATCTTGCACCTTTCGACCTTAAGATGGTAATTCCAGTTATTTGTCACTGTTCATGAAGACTGCGCTGCTTAGGATGCGTAATCTTTAAAGAGGAAATAAAATTATATATTTATGTAAAAATATGTACTCATTAGATATTTTAGATTTTACATATTTTTTTAGTGTTAAATTTTGTATTAATTTGTTTGCTAAGCGCATTTTCTGCTATAATTTTAATGTATTTTTGGGTTAATGGAATATTTAACCCATTTTTACTTCCTTGTTAGAAGTAGAAAAATTACATTTTTACCACTATCAAATGCAATTTAACAATGTTTATCTGTACATAAGGACAGAATAAAGGACTCTTTTTCATAAAACGATTTTTAAAACTGGTTTAAAATGGATTCAAAAGAAAATTTTTTGGGGCGTACGTATGTATCTCGCATAACTCAAAAACGAGTAGCCTCAGAACACTGAAATTTTGTATATAGGACTGCTATAACATGTAAGTTGTGCATCTCGCATTTTGGTATCAATCGGCCTCACCAAATGTATATAAATATATATATACCCCACTCTGTTACTCGCTCCGTGAGCTCTTTTTTTATTCATATATGTTAGTACATAGTGCATTTTTTGCTTTAAAACGATTGAATTATGCTGTTCTTATCTTCCGGTCAAGGCTTTATGCTTTTAGTTAATCTGAATGCAATATTTGTAGAATTATCAAAAATTTTAAAGTTGTTTGTGTGCGGCTAAGCCTATTTTTTTTTTTTTTTTTACTATAGCAGCCATATTTGTTTACATTTGAAACTTTAGCAGAATAGTGAATTAATTCTTTCTGCACCTTTAGTGTCTTCTTGCCGAGTGGGCCGAAAGGAAACTTTTAGTTTTGTGCACCAAAAAAATCTGCCTTCTTGCCTGCTGTTCGAATTGCTTGGTATTTTTTTTTTTTTTTTTCTGCGTAGAAAGTGTAATTTTAATTGTAAAAAAGTGTTTATTGTATTTTTGTTTTATATTTTTTCTATATCTCTCAATTTTTAACGAAATTATTTAGAGTTTTTATGTATTTTTGTCTTGCCGCGAAGTGAGAACTGAATGAATTGAATGAGAAATATATCTCTAACGAAATTCGAGGAAATAAGTTTAAATAAAATGCAGGAAAAATTTTGTACAGTTTCATTTTCCGTACAAGGAAGTCATTTGGTGTACACATCAGCCATTTTTTTTTTGTTTGTTTGTTAATTTTTAATTCGTGTATTATATTGTAGATCAGGCACGTTATGCATATGTACATAAGGAAAACCGTAAAAAATTAGACCAGAAAGCAATTGAAGGAATTTTTGTCGGTTACGATCAACGATCAAAGGGATACAGAATCTACACAGGTGAAAACCGTATAATTATCAGTAGAAGTGTAAAATTTGTCGAAGAATTATCAGCGAATTGAAATTTTTGCTCATCTAAAGGTTGAAGATGTTGAAGATGAAGAAATTGAAGAAAAACACAAAATTGTATCCAAAGAAGAGCCAAGACGATCAGAAAGGAAAACGAAGGGAATACCACCAGAACGTCTAGGATTTATAACAAGCACAATCAAAACCATACCTGAGAATTTTAAATACTTAGATTAATTGAATTCCGAAGAAAAGGAAAAATGGTTACTCGCCGTCGACGAAGAAATCAATTCCTTATCCCGAAATAAAACTTGGGAACTGGTTGAGCTTCCTATAGGAAAGAAACCTATTGGTTGTCGATGGATTTTCAGTCTGAAAGAAAACATTTCTACATGGAAATTTAGATGAAGAAATATACATGGAACAGCCAGAAAGCACTGTTCAACCCGGACAAGAAGAGAAAGTTTGCAAACTGAAAAAAGTTATTTATGGATTAAAGCAAGCTGCTAGAGCATGGAATAAAAAAGTTGAAGAAGTATTAAAGAATAGTAACTTTTTGCAAAGTACGTCAGACCCATGCTTATTTCTAAAGAAAAATGGAAATGACACGATAATGATCATTGTCTATGTCGACGATATTCTTATAGCATGCAAAAGTGAAGAAAAAATTAAAAGGCTAATCAAGTCTCTCAATGAATCCTTCGAAACAAAAGAGGAAAAATCAGAAACTACTAAGGAATCAACATCAAAAGAGATTAAAACAAGCTCCTATTGAGTAAAAAATCAAAAATAGAAAAATTAAGAAGATATTTTGTCCAGATATCCACAAACCATCTTGCACACCAATGGATACTTCTTATAGAAAGAAAGAAGAAACCTCTCCACCAGTGGACAATACCAAGTACATGTAAGCCATTGGAGTTTTATTATACATAGCCATTGTAACCAGACCAGACATTACTCTTGCAATGAATCTATTAAGCAGAAAAAATGAATCTCCAAATGAGAAGGACTGGAAAACAGTTCTAAGAGTGATTGAATACCTCAACTCTACGAAGGACATTTGCCTGAAAATTGACTCTGATAGCACACCAACACTTTCCTGTTATATGGATGCTGACTATGCATCTGATTTAACCACTCGACAATCAACAGGTGGAAATTTATTTTTCTTAGGAAATAGTCCAATAGTTTGGTCCACAAAGAGACAAAATTGTGTTTCCCTATCATCTACCAAATCCGAGCTTATTTCTGCAGCCACTGCTGCCACTAAGTCCACAATAGCTCTAATAAAACAGGGAAAATGAATGCTAGGTTAAAGCATATTAATGTTAAATATTTATTTTTAAGGGAAATGGAAGAAAATAAAATAATTGAGATAACTTACTGCAATACAAATTCTATGATTGCTGATATTTTTACTAAGCCATTGCCCAAACCAAGACACACGGGCCAAAAAATGCCAAGACACACGGGCGTCAAACACGTCAACTATGTTAATCACGTGATATTTAATATATCCCATGATACTCTTGTTCTTTAGATAGCTTTCGACCGCGTCTGGCATGAGGGGCTTATTCTCTAGCTTATTTCTCTGGATTTTGACAGAGACCTGATCTTACTAATTTATTCATTTATCAAAGACAGAAATTCTTTGTCAACATTGGTAACGACAACTCCGATCCCAGAACACTCAACGCTGGTGTAGCGTAAGGGTCAATTTTAGGGCCTATTCTTTTTATATTCTATGTTGCTGATTTCCCTAAAATTTCCTAATTTTTACTTAGGATGTTACGCCGATGACACGGCTCTTGCATATAAATCTCACAACCAAGAACTTGCCATTGCTAAATTGCAGGATAAAATTCCAGAAATTGAGCAATGGTGCACGAAATGGCGCATAGCCATCAATGCACAAAAATCCCAGCTTATAATCATAGGAAAAAGGCACTCTAGAAGTCCTTTTGTAAATAAACTTAAAATCTTTAATGTCGAAGTTCCGCTTGTGAACAAAGCTACCTACCTTGGTGTTGTGTTAAACAATAAATTCACATGGAAAGACCATATCCAAAAAGTCAGAGGCAAAACAGTTGCGGCTATCAGAGATCTTATTCCATTAATCGGAAAAAATTCAAAACTCGACTTACGAAGAAAGAGGCATATTTATACTGCCATTATTCGGCCTATCTTTTCTTACGCGTCTCCAGCCTGGGCGACTTATTCGAAAAATGACCTCAAGAAATTACAGATCACACAAAACAAATTTTTAAGACAGATCACGAATGCTCATTTTTATGTTTCTAATGAAACTCTCCATAGAGATTTAAAAATTGAGAATATCGAGAATTTTCCTCCATAATGCAAACCGCAAATTTTTCGATAAGGCGAGAAACTGCTCGCATATGAAATACTTTAAAGTCTTCGACTATGCCGTGTTTCCAGAAGATATCAAAATCAGACCGTTAGCGGCCTTCCTCACCAGGGACTCAAATTTCCCTACTTAATCAGTCTTATCATGCAACATTATCTTTTTCTGTATATATTGTACATAAATTTTCGTATTGCAACTTGAATTTTTTTGTATTTTGTATTTGTATATGCTCATCTTTATTGTATTTTATTTTGTATTTATTTTCTGTAATAAAATTGTATTTGCAAATTTATCATGATTTTTTCTTAACATACCTATCATGAACAACTTTAACTCTGACACTCCACACTTTGCTGCCTCTCCTGGTCTTGGGCTTTAAGTTCGATTCTCTGCTTGTGGCGTCCAGTGGTCACCCCCCCTCTTTTCTCCCATTTCCTATTGCCTCCTATCACTCGGTCCAGACACTTTTATGTCATGTGCCCTTCGGGCATACTTGTCATGAGCCGGACACGTTGCATCAATGCAATATTTCGGCATAATTTGTAATGAATGAATGAATAAAGTCTTTAGATATCATTATTCTGTTGTCGTATTAAACTGATGCTATCGCTTATATTATTTTAGTTGCAGTAGAATAAATGTGTTATTAGTGTTTAAATCTGCATCGTATTATTTATGGATAAATCCCTCATATCATCATCATCAACAATAATTTCGGAGACTCAACTGCTGCTACTGAGTGCTCAAAAGGTAAGCTGATTTTGCTATCTTTATTCTTCAATCTCAAGCGTTAATCTCCTTTTTTTGCACAAATTATGCTATAAATTTTCGAATGCGCTTCTTGTAGTTCAATTGCTCTTGTCTATTAATTTTGCAATTTGTTTTAAATATATTATGCGATGAATGTTGCTATAATTGTTCCTTTAATAAATTAAAGTTTTATATCTAACTTTTTTAAGAATTTAATTTTAAGAATTTAAAAAAAAATTTAAAAATTTTTAAATTTTAAGAATTTAAAAAAAAACAGTTAGAAAATTTAAAATTGTGTATTAATTTTAAATTCGTGAGTGCAGTCTTTGAAACATTATATTTGTAAAGAAGTATTCGAATTCAGCAAAATTACTTAAATTTTATGAAAAAATTCCGTGTTGTCAGGTCTTTCAAAATGAAGAGTTTGATGGATCTTTAAAGTATGCATGTTTTATTTATTGGTGTGTTCACTGTGGGCCGAAGTTAGAAATAAAAATTAATATAATTATTCTTTTAATAAACTTAAATTTTTTAACAAAAACATTTACGAATTTAAAAAAAAAACAGTTTCAAAATTGAACATCTTGTATTAAATGAAAAATTCGTGAGTGCAGTCTTTGAAACCTTACGTTTGTAAGGAAGTGCTTGACATTACCAGAATTATTTAAATTTTATGAAAATATTGCTTGTCTTGTCAGCTCTTACAAAATGAAGTGTTTGATGGATCTTCAAGGTATGTGCGTTCTATTTGTTGACGTATTTCAAATTGGTCCAAAGTTAAGAATAAAAATGAATATATGTTTGTAGTATCGTATTGTTTTATTGGCTAGGAAGTTATCCTATGGTTTATTCCTTCGATATCAGTTAATTCATGGAATATAAACCTAGGAGTACGTTGTAAGGTTTTTCTGCTTCCTTACCGTCCTCCTTCGTTGTGTAATTGGAAAGAACGTCCGGCGTTTGACTCTCGAGGAAGACGCAGCTGATTCTTCATGATTCTTGGCTTCATATATGTTCTAATTAGACTTTACTAGTAGCTCGCGCCCATATTCAAAGGTACTGGAAGATATTTTAGGAAGACTGGAAGATTAATCAGGAATGTTTGAAAGTTTTAGGATTAGTCTTAGCCTTGCTAGTCTCCCTTTTAATGAAAGAGAATGTAAGGTTTTTATTCTTCCTTGCTGCGTACTTTCGTGGTATAATTAGAAAGCACATCTGGCTAGCAATAGGGAGATCCGGAGTTTGGGTCCTCGAAGAGGGCATTGTACATTTTTCACGTTTGTTTCAAAATATAGTGTCTGAACATCTTTACATTGTTAAATTAATTTGGGGTTGTTGCAGATTTTCTTCTGTAAATACGATGTAAAACGAGCTTATTAATTTTCTTGTTTTGTTCGTATGTTAAGTAGACATACTTGTAAATTTTAATTTGTGCTGTTTGAAAACTGGTGATTCATTCCTTAAATGTTTTTAATTCTCCTCTTGTGTCTTCAAATGTATCTGAATTACTGACGCTTCAAGGAATGGTATTGTAGAGACATTAGGTATTTTTGGAAGCCGGAGAGATTGAAAAATTAGCAACCACCTTCGCCGGGAATCGAACCACGGAGCTAGCGTGGACCACGGACCCAGCATGTAGAACCACTATCCCACAAAGGCACGCTAGTAAAGTGGGAGAAGTACCTTATATACTCTTCTATTAAAGAGCGACTGGGGTATTTTAGGGGACCCAATCATCAAATCCTGGTGTGGAGAATTCTCATGCAACACCCTTTTAGTTCGAGCGCCACTGTAGAGACATTAGGTATTTTTGGAAAACCGCCTTCGCCGGTAATCGAACCACGGACCTCTGGAATACCGGCACAGCATGCAGAATCACTATACCACGAAGGCACGCTAGGAAAGTGAGAGAAATACCTTATAGTATTCAATAGTTAATTGTGAGTTAAGCTATCTTTAATTTTGGGAACATATTGTCCTCATTAATAGTTATGGAATTCTTGTGTTCTTTGGCAGTTATGCTGAAGAGACTTTCTAAAAGCAAAGAGACAGTATTTGAGACTTGAACTTAGTGAAATCAAAATTATTTAATGAAGAAATACTTTTTGGTTAAGCTAGTAATATTGGGTAAGCATTGGAATAAAAATACTGGGTAAGGCGTGGAGCGCTCACAATAAATTGAAAAAGATAGTGGCTTATTTATTTGACAAAGCAATTAAATTCCATAGATTTCGCTATTTAAGCGCCCCACGCTTTTATCACTCTTGATATGAAATTGTAGAGGAATTCTGTATATAGAATTATTTAATATATTATTCCCATTATACTATATGATACATTATTTTTCTTTTTATTGAACATTTATTATCACATCCATTTTAAGTTAAAGTTTATTGCATAAAAACCTTCCTTTTAATTGAATTTTATTTTCTGTTTTTTAGTCTCCGTATCATATTATCAATGATAAACTTTTCAGTCAGAATTAAAGCATTTAATAATACAAGCAAAATGTCCGTGTAATATATATGGAAATTATGAAATGAAAATGAGTGAACGTCGTGAAGAAATCGGGCTGAATATTCAGTTTTAAGAATTGGATGTAATAACAGAGTGTTGCGAGCATTTTACTCGAAGCTAAAATGAAAAAACGAATATCGTCAGTTCATTATTAAGTGCACTAAGATGGGAAACTCAAAAGCAATTTTTCCTCGAAAACCCTTTTTTTACCCGTCTACTTCAGACCGTAACATTTTTCTCAAAAATTTATAGAAAATCACTCAATTAATATTTTTTTATCTTCCGATGCTTTAAAAGAGGAAGAAAAGTTAGTTGTGCAATTTGTGACAATTTCAAAACTTTATATCCGATGCATTTTAAGTTGTTGAAATTTTAAAATCATAAACCTTCTAATAGTATGATAAATCGAGTGATTTTTAAAAATTTGCCAAAAGTTCAGAAATTAAGTTACAATTTTCATACAAACTTCACTGAAAAGTATTTTTAAACATTAAATAAAAAAAACCTAAATCAAACTTTGAATAAACCGCCACATTACATTCTAATCGACAAACAGTATGTGTACAAAATTTGAACTCGATAGTTTATCAGGAGGTAGGTTAAAAATTGTGGACAAAATTCCGCTACCTACCCACCACAATGAATAAACTAAATAAAAGCTCACAATTTGTTTTTACTCTCAGCAATTGCTGTTCTAAACTATTCCCATTCATTTGAATTTATTAGGTCGAAATAATTCGTTATAGCAGACACACTGTTTTTTGGTGAAGAATTTATGATATTTTGAAAAATATTTTCATGAAATTTTATATATTTCTTTTCAGAATGGAGAGCATTACACCGCGCACTAAATGAACGTTGCAGTATAGCTCATGGGATTGTTTGTGCAGCGAAAGCGAAATTCAGAGTTCCGGCATTTACTTTCAATTCTTTCACCTCCTCTTGTCCACTGTCTGTTCTTACAGTCTCCGTTAGTTTCAAATTGATATCCGAATCAGATACACCGTCATATTTATTTTCTTCCCTGCTCACCACGCTTCGATTCTCGTCAATAAGAATAGCCAATTGCATTTTGCCTAAGAAATTCTGAAAAAAAAGGGAAGATAAGTAATTATTATATTAAGTTAGTTATCAGTATTGGTACATCTTTGTTAAAGCGGTCATCGCGCTTAATCCCCAAAATTGGCAAACTTAATGGCTAATCTGTAATGCATAAATCTGAAAAATATGAAAGGTCATGCAGGACCGCTTTAACAAGGAAGTGCCTGAGAATTTCTTGAAAGGAAAATAAAATTCATTGCCATGAAAGAAATATTGGAACATTCCATCAGATATACATATTACAAAACTGTTCATGTGTTACTGGAGATGCTAATGCAACAATAATCAACGTAATATCCATAAATTTGCAGTATTAAATTTTTTTAAAGATTTAAATTTTAAACCTTCTTCTTCAGCGTTAGAAGTGAAAGTAACGAAAGAGAAGCGTATGCTCAGGCGATAAAAATGAGACAAGCTACTGATGCCAGCTATTGATGAAAAAGGAAAAGAACTATGATTCTTTAAAGCTCAGGATAAAGATATATCCGAATTGGGATCATTAACTAGAACTGAAAGATTTTTATGAATGTGAAACTCCTCTTGAAAATCTAATTCTCCAAAAGAAAGTGTTTTTTAAATGATTTTGCCTGCAGGAAAATTGAAAATATGATTTTGTTTTTTTACCAAAAATGTTGGGCAACAGAGGATTTATGTGTTTTGTTTTTCCCTAAAATATGCTTTGTGTTCCTTTTCGAGAAATGTTAAGGCTATCATAGTCTGACCAATGTAAATTAAACTACATTAGCAAAGCATCCTGCATGCATTCCAAGAGTTCATTTTTGTTGATCGTTGTTACTTTAGCATTTCCAATAATTGCTATTTGACGTATTAGTTAAACTCATATTTTTTAATATATTATATTACTTTTCATTCAAGACAATATCCTAAAATACAACATTTGAACAATTTATTACAGAAATTCATTCATCGTTATAATAAAGCAAAAAATATGTGAATTCTCCAAAAATTTCTTGAAGAAAGCGCTCGATCATGGAATAATAAACCATTTTAGAGTGGTTAAAAACAAAAATGCTGAAATCAGTTCTACAAATAATCAAAGGAAATGTCCCGCCCTGATCGATTATCATTTCGACCCGCCCTGATCGATTGTACTGATCGATGTCGACCGCTCGTTCGCCTGGAATCGAACCCAATTCTAGTTATCATTGTTCAGCGACTTTACCGCTCGGCCACTGGTAAGTGGAGAATTCCCACTTCTCGAGAGAGCGAAGAAAAATAGATTATCAGGAACATGCACGATTTCTTGACTGCTTAGTCGCATTTGTCATCGCTCAGAAAAGAAATGAGTTGGATTTGTTGTCATATCTGATTTTAAAAACATGAATATTTTTCTTTTATATGCGAGCTTATCCATATTAATTTCGTAGTGCTCTATCATATAATGTTTGATTTTGTGAAATTTTTAAATAATTAATTTTACTAGTGGTCTATTGGAGGAATAATAAAAAAACCTGCATTTTCATGAAATTTGATGCAATCCGGGGTTGGGGAACGCGGACTAGAATTTAACTTATTCTTCGTCAGTTCTACTAAAAAAAAGCAAATTACTTTACTTCTTTCTCCCCCTTCCAACAGAATAATGTTTTCTAATAAGACTGGCTTCAGTGGTTCGATACTGCTTGGGATAAGACTATAAAGCATTTCTGTTTCATGTAAGTGCACAGTGCGTTTCATGATTCAGATCACAAAGAATTTATAACTTTGCAATATAATACTAAGGGAAATAGTGTTATTATGTAACTTTTAATTGATCTGTTTCAGTTTTTGGAAACAAAATTGCTCAATTAGGTATTGTAAAGCGTTTATAAATTCATAAAAGGAGCATTTTCATAGGAGGTTAAATTTAAACTACTTATGATCCAGTTTCTGTTAACGATTTAAATATGCCCTCGCGCTAGGTTTCTATATCGGTTTCTATATGCGCTCGGTTTCTATCACCCTCGAGCTATATCATCTGCGATACACACTTATCTTGTTAGTGCTAGTCCATTCAGGCTCAGCAAGGACTGTAAAGGTTCTGTCAAGGCTTGACCTCGGGCTGTGTGCATTGCTGCAAGTTAAATCATAATTTTTATGCGTTTCAGTCCTTTTGGAAAATTTCAGGCAGTTGGCATCACCTCGTGTATAATTAACCGATAGCTTAGGTCTGAGCCTTCTCTCCGTATGATCTGATGAAATTACATGCGGCGAATAAACTACAATGTAACGACTGTGAATCAATTTCTAAAAACAATATTTATATTTTCCCTATATCAATATGGATCAAAGTAAATTAATATTGCTTCGGCACATAATTAAAGTAATAAAACATTTAGACTGCGTGAGTTTGAAGAACTCAACTATTTTATATCATAAAATTTACACTATAGAAAGATCAACATAAAAAGAATTCTAATATAAACATAAAACAGACTCAGATGAAACCTTTCATGAAGACTCAAATTAGCACAAATAGGAAGAGACCGAATTTATGTTCAAGTAAACTACTGGATATGGTTACCAAAAAAGAAATTGTACAAAATTACTCTGTAAAAATATTTTTATAAATCCCTGAACTAGACAATAGATCTGTGCATAACAGTTTTGTGTGGCTGGATGATAGCTTTAACTAGAGGTACATTCATCTAGCAATAAGTACTTCTTTTCTTATTAAGAAGCCTGTAATATACTGACCGGAAAGAGAGGGCTGAGATAGCCAAAGACATGTCTTTAAAACTTATGTATGGTGTTCTTTGCCATAAAAAAATCTGGTATTTCGTTTTCAGAATTATCAGAAATTATTGGTTACTGATATTAAATCTATTAATTAAAAGAAAGAAGAAGAAATAGTAAGGAAAAAGAAAACAAGTAACATGACAAAAATCGATTTTGATTGTGTAATCAAACCTTTAATATAAACTCTGCTACTAAATACTACTTTAATATAAACTCTGCTACCCTGCCAATACTACACTCGTTACTCACCAGAGGGAGCCCTCTGGAAAGTAGCCAGAAAAAAACTTCAGTAAAAGTCAAGTGATGAACCTGATAGGTTGTATGGGTTACAGCCAAAAACATCGCAGCAAATACATCGGAGAAGAAAACTTCTCGGAGAAAACAACGCAAGACGAAAGCGTCGTCGTACAGAACCATCGTGGGAGAAAAGAAAGCGAAGAGAAAACATCGCAGTTCTCAAACATCGTAGTAAACACACCGTCGCCAAAACAAAGCAGTTCAAAAAATTTGCAGTTTAAAAACATCGCCGTCGAAAATATCGTGCTAAAAAATAAAGTACTTAACAAATTACCGCATGATGATACATTGAGATACGTTTTCAGGCCTTAAAAGCTACAAAAGCATATTCGCATAATGATTTGAAAGTGCAGAAGGGGAAGAAGGATATTTTTTACTTTTATATTTCATATTTTCGATTTAACTAACAATTTTTATGACAATAAAAAGGAAACTTAAGCATTTAAAATCTGAGAATGAGTAGAAAATTAATTATTGCAATTTATAGCACTTAATTTTAAAAGTTACATAGTTAACTAACAAAAGGTCATTAATAAATTAATCCTTTTTTTATAAAGTTTCCCTGCTACTTTTTCATGAAAAATATAGTCTAAAAAAGATTAGAAAAAGGACGATCCCAAATCATGCGACTATGCATTTACAAATTTTAAAGACAAAAAACGTATGTCTACGATGTTATCGTCATGCTATTATTTGTTAGTTCTTTATTTTTTATCACGATATTTTAGACGACGATGTTATTAAACTGCGAAGTTTCTGAAACGCTTTATTTTCGGCGACGATATTTTGTACAACGATGTTTCAGAACTACGATGTTTTCTCTTTGCTTTTTTTTTTTCTCCCACGATGTTTTATAAGACGACGTTTTCGTCTTGCGGTGTTCTCTCCGCGACTGTTGCATCTCCGATGTTTTGTCTCCGAAGTGGTGAGTGATAGTGAGCAGTTTGATTTGGACAACTCCGTGTTATAGTCTTTTAGTGACGCTTAAGATATAGCAGAATTAAGGAATTTAAGATATTTGTAGAAGTGCTGTTATAGGATATCCAGCAATCAAACTGGAAAATGAAGATTCAATTTCTTGCAACGACAACACAGTTGATAATTCAAGATTTTCAATTCCAAAAGGGCTAATGAGTCTACCAGCTCATTAGTCCTTTTGGAATAGCTATAGCACTTCTGGCCTAGAGATCTCAGTGTAATTGTAACAATTATCGATCTTTTCATTGCCGCAAATTAGAGTAATTTTTGATTCTTTATCAGAAAATCGTATATAATTAAACACTTAATAAAAGGAGCTATAAATCACACATCTTAGCGAAGAGAAAAAATCTATAATAATTTTGGTCATTTTTAGTAATTACTTTCATGAAAACCTTCAACAGAAAGCTCAGAAAACGTTACCTTAGTATCATCTTCACTGGTTTCAAAATCTTTTTCATCATCATCTCCTAAACCATACTGAATACTTCTTAATATCGGGAAGCTCATTCCAAAGCATTTACCTAGAATAAATTGCCAATTAGTACAGATAGGATAGACAAATTTTGCTTTTACACATACACAAATGAAAAATATAGACTGGCGAAATTTTTATCGTTTAATTCGGAACGTTTGTTCTATTTGTGTTTGAAGTTTTGCGATTCATCCTATACGGCAGCGTTTTTTTTTACATGTATGATAGTTGCATATCGTTAGGATTAAGCTATACATTTTTGACGAGTTTGGACGCTTTAGATTCCCTCAATTTTCGGACGAACGTTTTCGCTCTTTTCCTTTCGCTTCTTCCTCGTTCTTCGGACGAACTATTGAATGACTAGCACAATCATACAACTTCATCGATGGTCAATAATCTTCATTGAAACATTCACTCAGAAGTATTTAATGTCTCAAGGGCTTACATTTTTCCAAGGTAAAAATTTTCATTTATTATCAAAGCTCAACTGTTGAAACTTGTTTGTAGAATTACACCTATTTTTATCAATCGTATTAGGCTTGCCCTCTGTGGCATTACTTTAGTTCCGTATTAGCATGCTACTTTAGCAAACTTGCATGTAACCTGAATAGTCATTCTTTGCAAATCGTTTTTGCTCCTGAAGAAGATGGGATGGTGTTTGATAGTGCTCAAAATATACAGAGGTTTATTTAAAATCTGCGCCAAGCTAAACTTGCGTTTTGTTTAATTTGAAATTTATTTAGATACTAATGGCTAGTGTATGTTATTTTATACTCAGTCGGTTAGTTTTAGTTGAATCTACTCATAATTAGTACTGTTCAAAAAGAGTTTTTAATATATTTCTTTAGGTGAAATAAATCTGATTTTCACTGAAAATAAAAGCGTTAAAATTTTATGTGCTTATAAGTACATGTTAGGGTGCTTCCTGCGTATAAAAATTGTTTGTATTAATTTGTCTGTACTGCTGCCACTTACTTTCTGCTGCTGTGAATATTTCATATTTTGTTCTCAATAACTTATTAAATCCTAAAGCTAACCGCTACAGAATTAGTCAAAAATGACTCAAAATTATGTATGCACCTAATATTAGTAGAAAACAAATTTTGCGAGAATATTTTTCATTAATCCTTATGGATAAACAGAAGTGACAATATATATTATTACAGCAATGAATGAGAAAAATATAATATATTACTGATTATGAAGGCAAATGTATAAGTGTTTTGCACATTAATACATTAGCGATACCCCACACCCAAACAAAAGCCATATTGAAAGATATTTTAAAGTTGCCCATTCCATTTTTGATGCTGACCAGTGGATTTAAAGAAGCAGATTTTGCTTTTACACCAATAAAGCCTTTTAACTAAACAGATGAAACAGTCAAAAATGGAGATGATAACATCAATTGAAACGCATTAAAAATGCGAAAATGTTGAAATAAGCTGGGCTGTAAGCCGCTGATTCATTTTTTGACGGATTTAAAAACAAAGCAGAAATAGTTTCAGCTTTATTAAAGTTTTGATTAGTTTCAGCTTTATTAAAGTTACATTGTTATTCTGTTAATTATAAGTAGGATAACTGAAGCAATAAGGACTCAATCGGAAACAAATTAGCAAATTATAAGGAAAAAAAGTGTTTTTTCACTATAACTTGTGGATTAATTACAATAGACAGCCAATACAGCAAAGTTAGAAGTTTGCATAAAGATGGCATTTGACAATTTTGCTGCAAAAGAAAAATTTCTTAAAATTCTTTTATTGGAGGATTATGTTAGAGAGATGAGTGTTTTCTTTTTTCAAAAGTATTTACATTGACAAAAAAATGTTAAAAATCTGCCGGCTATGCTTGGTAAAAGCCTATAGGAGCAGTTTAATATCTTCTAAAGCCAGAATTCCATGTTCCTTAACTTTATGGCATTGCACTGTATAACGCATCAATTTTTATATACAAAAACTAAAAGGTTTTGAAAATGTAATTTCAACTGCAGCACTAGCGAGTTTGTTTGAGTCTGTGAACATCGTTGAGACTTCGGTCCGTTGACGCATGCTCAGCCTTTATGTTGTGGGAGGAAGCGTGAGCGTCAAATCGACGCTTCTGTGAGGCAATTGATTCGGTGTAGCCGTATGAGAGTTTGGATGTTGTTGCTATGACGCAAATGGCTGTGTCTGCGGGAGGAGCAGCAGCAGAGTAGACAATCAGCAGTGCAGTGACACCGGAGCTATTTGTTGCCACCGGCGATTTAGGACTTTGCTGGTTTCGTGGTGTCGTCTGTTTTTAATAAAGTATCATTTGGTTGTTGTTCTCCATAATTAAGAGTTGTTAATGACAATGTTTTCTAATAGATCCAAGTCTGGATTAACCATTAAACAATATAAGAACGTGCTTAGGGCATCAAGGAGAAGAGACACCGCGTATAACTGCGGCATTGCTTACAGGTTTTCTATTAAATGCAACTTCTCCGTCTTCCCTTTAGTGGTTTTTCAGCAAAGTACTGTACTCTTTCCGAAAGTTTTTCTCACTTTTTTCCATTCCTGACAAATTCCACAAGCGAATATTTTTTAATTAAATTTAAAGCAAGAATTTTCTATAAAAACATTTAGAACTTGGAATATAATAAAATAAACGCATTCAGGAGTGACATCTTTGCTTCAATTGATTCGGTTTATATTATGATTTATAACGGTAATTTACGTTATAAATCATAATATAAACCGAATCACACATACATTTGTACCTGCTTTACCGCTGAAAGAAAAACGCACGATTTTCCCCTGCCTTTCGAAAAAAAAAAAAAAAAAAAAAAAAACCCACGTTATTCGTTATTAACAACCAACTAACTATCAGCATCGATTCCACCATCATTTGTAATGGAGAACTAGTTGCCTTTTTATATGTAACCCCAAACTGATATGTAGCGATTGGCTATTTTATATCATATGATAAAGCTTAAAAATTATTCTAGAGTTGTTTCCGAAATGTTTTAAATGTGTAATACGACTTTAAGATGTTTCTCATGTGTTAAGGAAAAACTTGCTAATATCTACATTCACTTTGAGTTATTCATAGCTGTTTGCTTTGCAGGGACTTGCTATTCATCGCAATGAATCGAACATTTCTATCTGATTACTGATGTTTATTCCTGATTCCGCATCTATTGTACTTTTCAAAGAGATGTTACGAGCCAAGCTATTATTTTTGCCGTGTCTTTACAATAAATTACCAGTTTATTCTTGATAATTTGGAATAATTATTTGATAAACATCTTCACAAGTGCATAGCTCATGACAATATTAAGAATCAGAAAATTGAATCTTCTTCACGACAATATTATTAAGAATCAGAAAATTGAATCTTCTTATCTTGATCACATACAGAGTGCCCCATAAATTTTGCGATAAACTTCTGGGGGGTAGGGCACATCACAAGGATTAAGAAATGCATAGGAACCCATGCCCAGAAACATCACTGTACGCCGCCAGGGGCTGCTGTACAGGGAAGCGTTGGTGGAAAGTGAGGATTGCCTCATTCCAGCGGTAGGCACTATACGAAAAGCACGGAACGCTATAGGAAAGTAGAGCTTGCAGTTATGTACTTAGTGTATGGCATAGCTGAGGATAATGGACGAGCCGCTGCACGCATTTATCGAGAACGTTTCCCCGACAAACATCAACCACATCACAGTTTGTTTGCACGTCTGCATCAAAATTTGTGCGACTGCGGGTCATTAAGGAATTTCAGGACAAGGGATCGACTCGCTCGCTAAGGAAGAAAGTGTGTTGGATGCGGTGGAGAGAAATCCAAGGAGCAGCATACGTGCCATTGTCTCTCAAATAAGAATGTCTCGTACCAGCGTCAGCGTGCCTTGAACGTCGATTCCTTACACGCCTTTCGTCTCCAAAGGGTTCAGTTACTGCTCCCAGATGACCATCCTGAACGTGTGCGTTTCACACAGTAGTTTCTGCAAGAAAGTGCCCGTGATGTTAAATTCCCAGCTTATGGTTTGTTCCGGATGAGGCCATATTCAATAGGGATGGCGTATTAAATCTCCACAATCAGCATTTGGGGGCTCAAGAAAACCTTTACGGTGTGCGGCAACACGCGGCACAACAACGCTTCAAAGTTAATGTGTGGGTGCTTTCTCATTTTGGACTGGATGTTCGTAGGCATTTGAACAAATCATTCCTGCATCGATGGATTGGGCGTGGTGGGCCGATTTCCTGGCCCCCCCATGCTCACCGGATTTATCAGGCCTTGATTTATGTTTTTGGGGAGCCATCAAAAGTGTCTTATATCACGATCCTGTTGCGTCTGAAATGAATCTCGTGGCAAGACTCGCTTGCGCAGCTGCTACAATCTAAGAAACTTCCCGTTTTTGAACATGTCCGACAATCAATGCTCCGTCAGTGTCAGGCATGTTTGGCGTCTTATGGAGCAAACTTCGAGCATCTGTTGTAAGATTCAAGCTGTCGTACATCACTTGTATTCATGTCCAATAAATGTTTCAAACTAATCACTCTCTTGTTTCCTTTCCCATCTTCTACCTCTGCTACTTACCCCTGATATTTCCGGGCATGGGTTCCTATGCAATCATTAATCCTTATAATGTGCGTTACCTCCCGCAGAAGTTTCGCGCAGCATTTACAGGACACCCTGTATAAAAATTACTGATATATTATTAAATAACCTTTCTTCCAGATTTGTCAATTTAGTTGCATTAAAGCCTGTTGCAAATTTCTAAATAAATCTATTCATTAATACTGAAAGTAATTTCTGAAAAACCCATAATTAGAAGATAGAAAAATCAATTGAATACACTGCATAAAAATTACAATAGCAATGAATACGTAAGAGAATACAATTTGCCAATACATAGCACTCAAAGGGAAAAAATATGCACAACAAAAGAAGGGGAAAATTATACGAATATCTTTAAAATTTTCAGAACCTAGCATTAAGTTGCTAACGGTAAAAGTATGAAAGCAAAAATTTATTAAAAAAAGAACATTAATTTACAATTTATTAGATACTGATTTCGAGTAACTTTAGTAAATGGAGTAACTTTTTGTCACCTTATGTAATCAAAACATACTTTTTCGCGTATCTTAAAGGTTGCTAATATTCAACGGATTAGAGTTCATACTATTTCTTAGAGTTCAAAATATGCTTTTCCTAACTGCGGTAATTTTATTTGGACACATTTAACTGCTTAAATTTTATTCGAACAAGTATTACTAGTGTAGAGGTAATTTATATAGACTTTTATTGAACACCTGAAGCAAAGCCAATAAAGGCTACACGGGGTCTGTGCCGTAACTCCAAAATCCATTTAAAGTTATATTTACTTGATCATGACGGCAAACAGTGCTATACTTGTTTCCGTTTTCGTAAAAACAAAATCATTATTCATAGTTATACAAATAGTGAGGAATATAAAATACACCAACTGTTTTATTGACACAAAAGTAAATTCTTTCATCATAGCTTTGGTGAATTATTACTTTTGAAGTGCTATTACTGGACAGAATATTAGCTTTAAATGTTAATGAAAAATATTAGTTTCTTCTAATGATTCATAACGCATATTTTAAGAATTAAAAATTTATAATGCAAAACTCATAATATGTGTGCATAAAGCGGTTATTGTACTTAAATTCCGTCTTCACCGAAATTAGTCAAAGCTTTTTTACTTCCTTGTTCGAAGTAAAAAGGTACTGTAATCACGAAAAATTCCGGGTTCCAAAATGCAATGAATATATGAGCGCTATCAAATGCAATTTCACGATCTTTTGCCATGACATCTGTACGTGAGGACAGAATAAAGGAACTCTTTTTTCCCAAAATGAATTATAAAACTGTTTGAAAATGGATTCAGAAGGGATTTTTTTTTCGTGGCGTCTGTACGTACGTACGCATGTATATATCTCAAGGTCCTAACCATTTTTACCTCGAAGAAAGTCGCACTCAAGGGTTTTACATGAAAATTTAAAAATTTAAATATGGAAAGCATTATATATTAAAATGAGCAAAAAAATTAGTAACAGTAAAAATTAAATATCGATCTCCTCAGATCAACGCTTCAAACAGAACTTATCAAGGGAAAATGGTAGAAACCCGGAGCCAAGTTGATCAATGAGTTCCGAATACAAGTTTCGGTCTTCTGACACATTTGAGAAACAGAACCGTTATTTTTGAAATAGATATTCAATTTGAAATAACTTTCAATGGTTCTCAAATGCTAAGATCTTTTCCTGACCTGCATTCATAACTCTTAAGACAGTAAAAAATTACAAACCTCAAGCATAAAATTATAATACTTAAGAAGAAACAAAATATTACTAAATAAGATGCCAAAAATCATAAAAAGATACAAATAAAAAATCGCTAAACAAGAGTTTGAGGCAGTAAACTGAAAACTACAAAGCAAACAGTCTGAAAAGGCCAAATGAACTAATTACAATCATTTACAACAAGGGGTAACCTTGAAAAAGGGACGGCTCGAAAAAGTTTTTAATTTTGCTTTGATCTAAATCAAAAAACGAGTTAAGTTTCGAGATTACAAGTTGCCGAGTTTGCTCAAATATTAATATTAAAAATGTTGAAAAAGGTAAAAAAACGGTAAAATACGAATTATCCAAAATCAAAAGACAAGCCTTCCTAGACAAAACTAAGTCAAATTCGGAAGGTTCCTGAGTATCTACAAGGATTAAAATTAAAATGGTTTAGATATTGTACCAAAAATTTAAGAAGAAAAACTTCTAGAACAAATGCTGTAATTTAAAAACGATAGAGCTCTAAGAATCGTAGAAAAATTATTTTTGTAAAAAAAATAAAAACTTTACAATGTAAGAAACAATGTAATGTGCAACAAAAGCCTAATAAAAGCATAAATGAAAAAACGGAAAATTGCAAACATACTTTGTCTGCGAGCTACGGGGAATTATTGTAAGCAAAATGGCTGCTAAAATGCAAGAGGAAAAAAGAGCAAACGAGGCAAGGTTTAAAAAATAGGGGAAAAAAGAGGGGCTAAATTGGAAGATTCTTGAAATTCACAAAACAAAACTAATTCCCATGCTCAGTGGGAGTGATTACTGTTGTGATGTAAGGGAGGGGCCAAGGGAGGTGGAATGAGTGAAAAGAAGGCTTTTTGTTGACAACATGGTGTCTTATCTTACTTCAAGGCTCAAAAGAATTTTTCAAAATGGCAAGGCTTCAAAGTTTAAAAATTGTAGAGAACTGGCCCAGAAGTTGTAGGAATATGAAAATAGTGGTTAAAAATGTCGAAATTCTTCACGCAATCAAGTTACAGTGTGTCTTAGGAAATGAAAAAGCTCCTACTTTTAGTAAAAGTATAGAAAAGGAGATAGCCAGTAATTTTTAGGAGTACGTAATATACGTACTCCTAAAAGTATAGTAGTATTTGATTCAGTTTCTGGCTAGAAAATCCGGATACAAGGGAAGTATTCGAATCCCGGAGAAGGCATGCTTGAAACTGTCCGTCCCTCCATAGGAGACAACGGTGGTCACCTATTAGATGCTTCCATAATGAAATGGTCACCACTTCCAGCCCTCGTAGTGACGCAAGGCTACTGGCAATTAAATAAAACGTCTGGACATTATATGAAAAAAAGCCAAGAAAACTGGATTTACTCCCATTATTAACCTATTCGAGTGACGTTCTAGGGCGATTTCAGTGTTTTGAAGTACAAAGAAGGCATAAAGGATAAAGTTTCTTTTTAATTAGTCTCTAGAAGAAGATCTTCTAGATTAGGGGTGGGCAGACCTTTTTCAGGGTATGGGCTACATCTAATTTTTTGAAGGTATTGCATTCCACCCATTGACGTAGATGTGGTGAACTAAAACACTGTCTATAATATTTATCATAACTTAATAATAAAATGTGAAATATTTACTTACCTACTTAACCCTACCTAAAAAAACTTACTCTTTTAAAACCGCGTTTAAAGGAGAACGCAAGATACAAACATAGTTATAATAGCCATAAATTTAATAATTTCAAATCATGCATTTCTTATCAAACAATTCAAAAAATATTTTTATCTAGTTAGTTCTTTGCAGTTGTAGTTAGTAGAAGACTTAGTCTGCATATTGTCCGCCAATCTTGAATATTTCGGTATGCAGTTACCAACTGCTAATCTTGCACTGGATTCTAAGTGCTCGTCTGTGAGACGGGAACGATAGGTTGCCTTTATTATATTCACCGTTGAAAATGCAGATTCACACAAGTAGGTAGACTCAAAAGACAATGTTAAATGGAATGCATCTTTTCTTTTTAATTGGAATACTGTATTTCGTCCATTAGATTCCAAAACTGGGTTCTGAACTACGTGCTTTTAAAATATGCTATTTTGAAGGAGAAAAACTTCATTTTCCTCAAAAAATAAAGAGAATACATAATTTATATTTTCAGTTATTTCTTTCACATCAACATTGCCAAAGGGGTAACACATGAACTTAACAATTCGTTCTAGGCTAGTAAATTCTTGGAAACGCCACTGAAATTCGGAGTGAAGTTTTATTATTTTATCATAATATTTCTCTTTGTTTAACGTTCCTCTGTTTTTAAATAACTCGTCAAAAATATTTTTGAAATTTTTCAGTTCATTCTTCGTCAACTGGGAAGATATTAGCTTGTTTTTGAAAGTATTAACAAATCCAATCAATTCTACTATTGTTTGATTTTTTTCTTCGCAGTTCAGTTCATTAAAATGGCTTGTTATATCAGCAACGAAAGCTACATCCAACCAAACGTCATCGATAAGTTCAACTTACGCTTTTATCATTTGATTCAAAAAATTATTTTACCTCTTGTAGCAGATTCCTGAATATATGTAAAAATATACTCCGGCTTAACCAACGAACATCTGCATGATATAATAATTCCCCGTAATGAGATTTGTTTTCTTCTAGTTGAGCCCGAAACATTCTTCTCCGAAGACTTCTTCCTCGAAATGAGTTCACAATTTTCATGCAGATTCCCATAACATAACGCACATTTAGAATTTTACAACACACGGCCTGTTGGTGAATAATGCAATGATCAGAATAATGTTGGTGAATGCAAAGGAAATGCGGAAAGAAAGAAAAGTAAAGAAGAAAAAAAGAAAAGCAAGAAAGGAAATGCGGTATGTCATCGTCCCTGATACACATAGCCAAAAATCCATTGACTATGGTTATTGATGTTACCGATACAACTTAAGCGTCATCGTGCGCTTCCAATGGAGGTACGTGTCGCTTGCATATTCATCGAATCATTTGCTAAGTAACAACAGTCACATCGGTTGTGAAAAGCCAATTCTTCAGTCTAAGCTAGCGTCAGTGTACGGTAAATATGTTTCTTTTGGTATGCGCGTCTTTAGTAGGTCGTAGTAAAGGCGGTCACTCCAAAATGTGTTGGTGTTGCACCGGTCGACCGCGATCGGTTTAATGCCCACCCCTGTTCTAGATTTATATCTCTAGAGGAAGAACTTCCTTTAGGCCGTTTTGTTGGTAAAAAAAAACCCTTCTAATTATATAAAACAAAACACTGGTGTGTCTGGCATACTATTTAAGTAAGTTTGTAATAAGTTTAATACTACGACGATTTCTAGGAAATGAATTTTTGCATTCTTCGAGCAAAATTTAAAGCATAAATAACTACCTATATTCTTAACATTTACTATTAAGTATAAAAAGTTGCATGTATACCTTGATAATCATCTGTATAGAAGAACCTATACGCTGCACCGCCGAGACCAGAATCACGAATATATCTCGATTTCAACACAGCCATTTTCGGAGTGTCGTAACTCACCCACTGGTCGCCTTTGACGGAATAACTTCCAATTAAATCGTTCGGGAAAAGAATCCATGAATCATCTTGGCATATCTAAAAAAAAGCATAATAATGTGTTTAAATAGGAAAATATATTGATAATAAAGTATCAGATTGGATAAAATGCATATAAAGCATTACATACATTCGCCAATAATTAGCTAATAAAATTGTTAAACTGTGATTTTATTATAAATATATATAACGAACATATGTATAGAGGGTCTTCGTATCTGTATAACTGTGAGGATAAGAACGTTAAAAATACTCCAAAGAAATAGATATGCGTATGTTTACGTTAACAAAAGTTTATAAATTCAGTTAAACTTTCAGCGTGCTACGAAAATAATCAAATAAATGATCCAGAAATAATAATTAATCCAAAATAGAGGGTTAATAGTTTAATAAGAAATGCATAGAACAAAACTGAAGCAAAAGCAAAACAGCTCAATAAAACCTCTTAATAAAAATAAAACAAACCCTTGAGAATTTTTTGGTTTTGTTCATGAAGCAGCAGAAGCATTTTCAGTAGAGCCGCGTTTCTGAATTATATATTTATGAAATAATTCTGAAGAAAATGCCAAATATAAATAAAGTTAAAACTGATTTAAAATAATAACCTAAAGCCATTAAAATTTATAATAAAAAGTATACAATAAATTATAATATATATTTTAAAACATTTTTAATAATTCATCGAAATAATATCTGCTCGAGTACGTCTAAATCAAAAATACTGTAAAAATAATAAAAAGTATAAAAATTCTAGGAATGAGAAACCAGAAAAACCTTTGGGTAGATTAAAAGCATTGGACTAAATAAATATTTTAATAAATTTTGAAGCGAAGAAAGTGCAGAGGTGCTAAAAAAACGTTGTAAATCAAAAGTTAATATAGTATTTTAAAGGTCGAAATTTTAAGGAAGCAAAAATTAACGTATGTACGATGTAAAGGAAGTATTGTAACCGCCAAAAATTTATGGTATCATAGTTCAACGGAAATAACTCTTTCAACAGCATCTGAATCTAGTTCGACAATTTTATGTATGATGTCTGTGCGTATGAACTGAATAAAGGAATTTTTCCCAAAACGAATTGTAAACTAGGTCCAAAATTTATTCAAAACGGACTTCTTTTTAATGTCCGTAAGTACCTACATATGTATATATATACCTCGTATAAAGTTTGTTAGCCGTAAAACCTTGAATTTTGTATACGGGATTGCTATAACATATATTTGTACGCCTCCTTTTTATTGCATAATATATATATATATAATATAAATTATATATATATATAAATAATATATATATATGTAATGATAGCACATTTTAAGAGAAGCATTGATGTAAGAATACCGTCCATCCGTTTTTAAGAAGAAGCAGTCGAGATGGATTAAATTCCATTTTTATTTTCCAGTTGAAGTTTGTGGCCACAATTCACTTGGTACTCTACTCGTGCCTATTAAAGAACATTTACATACGTCCAAACATGCACAGAGAGAAGCTGAAGCGAAAACTGACGCATCAGTTCAGAGAAAGAAGGGAGGGTGTCAAAGTTTCAGTTTTAAGTTTTGGTTTACAGTTTGGTGATTGGTCAAAAGGCATCTTCATTAAGCGTTACGTAAGATCGCATGATTAATTTGAATGACGCAGTTTAGACTTGTGGCGCTATTTTCAGATAATGAAAGGAAATCCTTAAATTAAATAAAAAATAAAAGAGGTTATAGCCGATTAAAATTGAAAATTTGCTTTCCTATTTTTTATCTTACATTCCCCCCCCCCCCCCACTCATTTCAAAGAGAAAAACGGCGGAGCGATAGAGAAACATTTTTGAGAGAAAAAGTATTAGAGGAGCAAAATATGAGAAATATAATTTTGAAAGTACAAAACATAAAATTAACTTTTGAACAATTAAAAAAATTGCAAGTCGAAAATTTTTGAATTCAATAATAATTTTAAGCACTATTTTTTTTTTTTTCAAGCTATTGCACATTTTTAAAGTCCTTTTAAAATCTGAGTCCAATCTGTAAATAGTTCTTGTTTCTAGAACATTCACATCACAATTTTGATACTTCAGGGAAGGATTTCCAAAAATGTTTGCACAGAATATCACAATTATAAAACTTTTATATACCCATTAATTATTAAGAATAATCATAAATCTTAAAATTTTACACCATATTAATTTTCACATTTATAACTAATACTTTATCATTTGTAATGCATTATTGAAATTACGGCCTTACTTTTATTATTACATATATATATATATATATATATATATATATATGTAAATATAAAATATAAAAATACGATGGCTTTGCTCTACGAGAACTCTAATTAACCTTCGGCAGTTTCAGGATCTTCTCCCTAGACCAGTACTTTCGAGAACATTTTGGCATGTTATACAACCGTTACTATAAATACCAAGTACGCGCCATTTTTAGTAAGACTGCTTCCTACTATCGCTGCTACAAGACTTTGCGCTGCTCTGCCCATTTTTCTTCCCTTTGTTAGAATAGTTATGACATCAAAAGCCTAGATTTAATCTTATTTAGTTTAAAACACTGTTTGGTATGTAATTTGGAGAATTTCATCTAAAAGAAAAAAATATCCGCCATTTGAATTGAATAAAGATGCACAATTAAAAGCAAAGTCCTTCTGTGTCATCTTTCTGCTGTATTCCACTCAGTCAAACAACGCCCGGACTCTGATGCCAAGCTTCGTCATTCCTGTACCTATCCGAAAAATCTTCTCACACACACACACACACACACACACACATATATATATTATATATATATCCACCCATCCCCTACCCTGCTTAACATCTACTTGTGAGCTTCGTTTTTTTATTCCATTTTCATTCCAATCGGCAGTACTAAAAGCATATGTATCCATCTATTTATCTATATAACTATACCATATATATATATGTGTGTGTGTGTGTACGATACAACAAAATACGATAGCCGCTCTATGAAATAATTAGCGACCTTAAAATTAACGATTCTAGATTTTATGCTCTCCCCCTTAATTCATCTGTTCTCCCAAATTCGAGATTTTTCCATGTTACGTAATGTTTAACGCAGATACCTCTTGTGCAAGCAAAATAATTGTAAGCCAAAACTTTTCTTAACTCGGAACTGAAACTTTGATCCCCTCCCTTCTTCCTTTGAATTGCAGTGTTCACTTTCACTCAAACTTTCTTCTTGGCAAGACGCTCCTCATCCCCGCTGTTGCTTATTTGCCTAAAATTACGTCGTACTGTAAAACCCGTGCACATGGAAAGTATTGCATTCAGTTATGATTGAAAAATATTTTATCTGCAAAAGGATGATTTGATATGAAAGAGATAAAGAAAAATAAAGATTGTTATACTTTAAGATCAGTTGTGTTAATTGCATCATCATAGCTTTTACCTTCAGCCACTACTGTCTTCTCAGCATGACGAATATCGAAAGCTGATAAAAAGTACCGGATTCCTTCTTCAACGCTTAAAACATTACATATATACTATGTACATCCACTCATTCCTTACCCGGCTTAAAAGTCCTTATCTGGTCTCCATATTCGCGATCGTTGGTCGTAGTCATATACTTCCATTTACAGAATGACGATAATATTCAAGGTTTGTCTATGCCAAATTTAAAAAAAAAATTAATTTTGAACAAATAACGATATTTAACACTTAATGCGGTCTCCCGGTATCTATACTTATATTTGGAAAAGTTTTATACTCGTTATAAAAAATAATAATGCAAGAAGTTTGGCTCCCCCACTATAAAAATTGACTGCGATATTTAATTTCAAAATTTGCATTTTTTGATTTCAATTTCAACTTGCATCTTGGGATTGATTAATGAAATTAGAATATTTCGTGGAAATAAGTTTAAATGAAGTGCCACAAAAGTGTATATTAGAAGAACACTTTCATTTAAAAGACCAATTATTCAATATTTATGGCAGATGGCTTCCCTGTCTCTATGCCAAAACAGCGTTTTTATTCTAAAGCACTGCAATTTGAAGTATGGAACGGCATATGTTAAATAAAATTTATATTGATTAAAAGCAATATCATTTGATAATAACAGTGTAAATTACTAATAGTATGCATAATTTTCTTCATCCAAAATTTGGATAATTTGATATTTATATTGTTATACCTTGAATGTACAAGGAACGTCAAATGTAAGATAAAACTATATAAATTAATAAATAATTTTAGTTATTTAATAAGGCCTTAAATTTAAAGAAAAATGGTGAACCTATTTAGAATTTTATAAACATTAAAGTTTAAAAAAATTCAGTATTTTGAAATCAATGATATTTTATGACACAGTAGTTAAAGTGATATAGCTTGTAATTATATCGCACATGACCAGAAATACAAAAACTCTGGTCAGCCAAGTTGTTCAGCTGTCAACAACCAAACCCGTAATGTGAGGAAGACATAAGGTTCTGAAGAAACTTATAAGGTCAAATAAATTGCCAACTAAATCAATAATAAGGTTTAATTTCAATAAACGTAAAAACAATAAAAAGAAGAAACAGAACTAAATTAACAATTATTAGAAGAAACTTTAGGAAACAATAGTATTAAAAATGAAAAAAAAAAAAAACATGCATTGAGTTAATTTTTTAATTAGAGGAAAGGGTTATACTTGTTTCTCCAAAAACATATGAATTTAATAAGTCTACTTACAGCTAAAAAATGCTAACAAAAGTATCTGAATCCTTTTAGTTTACATTTGATTCGTGCTGATAACTATGCTAAATATTATTCAAATTTTTATATTATAGAATGCGGTTTATAATTATTTTCATGGACTTCAGAAGATTTTTCTAAGAATTCCTGAAAATCTTTTTTTTTTTTTTTTTTTTTTTGACACATACAGAATGAATCTGCAGATTACTAGCTTTTCCTTTTGTGTTTTGAATTTTATTTCCCTTTATAAATTATTTTTACATTTGAATAAATTTATGCCATTTTTCGACAGAAAGTTTGTAAATATATTCTCACTCTTCCAGCATGACATCTGGTTGTAGCAGTAGCACACTCGACGCGTATTCGAGAGACCTAGGTTTGAGCCCCGGCGAGGTCATTGCTCATTTGTACTCCTGCTTCAAAATAACCTAATGACTCTTCAGTGGCTCCCGAACTAAAAGGCAGTGTGGATCATAATTCGTCACCACCTGGATTTGGAGATTGGGTCTCCCAATCCCCAGTTCCCAGTTGTTTTAAAGGGAAGGTAGGTAAGAAATATTCTCTCTCCTTTTAGCACGCATTCAAGGTGTAACGGTAGCACACTCTGCGGGTATTCGAGAGGTCCAGGTTTGAGTCCCGAGGGCACTGTTCATTTTTCATATACGTCCGCTTTAAAATAACTGAATGCTTCTATTAAGCAATTCCATTTCAAAATCCAATCCAGAACTTGAAATTATCCTAAGTTTCATTGGATTTCAGTAATACGAGGAAAATGCGGTTTTCTGATGAAGTCTCGATTCCAAAATTTGTTTTATTTATAAATACAAGTTTTAATTTAGAAATATATAATAAAATATTTGCTTAATTACAAACTTATCTGTCTTACTGTTTCGTTTGTGGTTCCTGTTCCACAAAATATAAGCTTAAGTCATCGATAAGAAGTTTTCGAAAAAATATCGGTGTAAATCTCAAACCGTGAAAGCTGCGCGAATTTTCATTACATTTCGTAATTGCATGGCGAATTTTGTTTCCCTTCACCTTTTGATAAAGTTATTGCCCCAAACATAAATGATGCAATCTTGTCATTAATTTTTTTATGCTTTAATATTTCCACATTCTCATTCTCTGTAACTACATTGAAAGTTAAATCTATTAGTTTTTAATTTGAGCTCCAGTGTCATGAAATATGTTATGATTTATAAACGCATATTATACTATTTTTGCTTTAAGATACAAACAAAAAATTATTTTATCGTATAATAACTAGAACAATTTGTATAACTAATCAGTCATAATATAAAGGATTCCGAAAAAATCTCTTAAAAAATTTCGTTTTGTTAAGGCAGCCGCAATTAAAAGTTCTTTCGATCACCTCTTAAAGCTATCTTGTTAGGCTATCAAAGTCTTAAGGCATTTAGTGGTGGGACTTAAGACACCTAATTTGTGTTTTTAAAGTTTATCTTAAACTAGAAATATTAAATCAGAGTAAAAATGTAAATCATAGTATTTAAAAGAGAAATAGTATTTGGGAAATTAAATGCAATCAAATTTATGCAAAACATCGTATTTTAATATCATTTGGTGTATGCTCTGAACAAAATGATAAACGTAATGCATTAAAAGCAAAAGTCTAAAAAAACATTTAGACTTTTACTCCGGTATTAAAAATAAATATTGAACCCCTTCGTGCTGATTCATTAAATTAACAATCAGAAAAGGCAGAATACCATTCATCTTTCAAAATAAGAAGTGATAAATTATTACAGTGAACTATGAAAGTTATGGTTATCATTCGTTAAAAGCTGCGTTCTGTGTTTCAAAATTCGCAGTATTACAAAAATAGTGTATTATGTGCATTTTGGTTTCTCTGTGAAACATGGAACTCACAAAAAAATTACTTATTAGGAGAAAAATATAATTGCGTGATTGATTAGGCGGGCAACTGCTGCAAGCTTCGATTGCGCTTTTAAAATTACCATCCATTTAGACTTTCCAGCAGTTCTAAGCTATTAATGGAAAGACAGAACTCGCAGTTAAGAATTGATGCTATGTATTTCGCAGGGTAAGAGCAAAGCAATTTCAAGCAACCTTAGATTGATTTATGTATTCAATGGAAATCTACGAGAAATTATTTTCGAATAAACACTCGGTTAGAAACAGCATACTATGGACAATAAGCAATTTAAAAAAGGGCAGAATTCTGGGGACAGAAGTTCACAAGTTCATTCTAATACGTCGTTTGAGATGCCAACTTCAGCGCTTTGTTGTGTGTTATTCACTTAATCGTATTTCTGCTTTGTTGTCTAATGATTCAATGAAACGGGACGAGACGTCCTAAACTATGTAAAGACTTTAGCAAGGTATGGTGCTTAAGTTGGAAATGCCTGTTCTAAGGGATATTCTGATAATGAGAAGAGAGATCTTTTGGATGAAGTAATGAAACAAAATTCTTCATTGGGCGTTTGGACTACTACTGTGTAAAACGCTTTGTTTTTTTCTCCGGATGAACACATTACATCCAAGAAGAGGGAAGATGAACAGACTACAATTACGTAATTTACCAAGGCGACAAATGAACATAATTTTAATTACTTATTGTGGATCATCGAAAGTTTTACAGTATTTTCGTATTTCAATTGTGAGAAACTTCCATATTTAAACCCAAAATTTTTATAATTAAATAAATCTTTATTAAAAAATAAAGCAAAATCTTTGTTGCTTTTAGTAAAACTATTTAGATAAAGAAATACAGAAATGAGGTTGAGGTGCTGGTGATATATGGGACCAATCCACCTAAACTGTGGAATTTGTTGCTAGAAGAATAGATGAAAATTAATGCGGATTGCATCCAAAAATTCAGTAGCATCCTTTTCTTCTCTAACATCAATAAATAGTTTTTCTATTAGATAGCATTTCGTCCAGGGTGGTAACATTTTTACTGATTAGTTTATATAAATTGTAAGTAGTCTCTTTTAAGTCACGGGAAGTATACATATTACATTCTAATGTATTGCAGTAGCATATACAGTGTAAGAAATAATCTTGAATTTAAATACCTCAAAAAAGCCAATTATGCCACCTTCTTTCGTCTCTAGTCCCGGTTTACCTGGACCAAGAGCAGGAGCATTAAAACCGTTAATCTTTTTATCAGCCAACGTGTAGCTCCTTCCATAAGATGGAATCCCCAAGACTAACTTTGAGCTGTTAGCACCTAAATTTAACCAGTGGTTCACAGCTGAATCCTGAAATAAAAGTATCTTCTGTTAAAAAAGGTATGTTTATAAAATATTAAATAAATAAATAAATAAATTTATGTGATATCAGATTTTCTAAAAATATAATTTTTAAATTTAATTTTCTTATTTCCAGGTAAATGCACTTCCAAAAAGCTTAGTTATGACATTACCCAACTCTGGTAAATGAAAATATTTCATAGAGTCATATAAAGTGAAGAAAGTATTTTAATTTCCTGATGATTATCTTAACTTCATGAAAGTATTTTAACATGTGCAAGCATAAGATGGAACCTTGCAAATTCAGCTCACTTCACGCACTGTTAATAGTGGTGGCAATTTCTTGTCTATTTTGCATGAGTAGGTGTGCTGTAAATTTGAATTCAAGTGTTTATAATAACCTAAGAGGTTCTAAAAGTCCTAGGAAATGTACCTATTTCACGAGACCTAAAATCTTACTTTCTTACGGAGCAAATTTCCAATTCCTAAAGGCAAATTGTTCATTGCTTGACTACTAATTAAATGATTTGAAAGCGATAATCCTATCTTTTAACCAATGGTAGTTGTGCTCAGTGTAATTTCTAATGCATCTGATCCATGTGATTAATAAACTAATTAAAGATTATTTTTATAAATATTAGCTCCTTTATATTATAATTAATAAACTTACCCTCAGAATAATCATTTACATATAACAATGAGATTCTTTTTATCTCGATTTCATAATTTATTATTTTTTAATTCCTTGTACAAAGTAAAGGAAATACTGTAATCATGAGACATTTACGGTATCGTTTTTAAAGGAAATACCCATTTCAACCTTTCTCGAATGGATTAAAATGGATTCGAAAAGTATTTTTTTTTTCATGATGTTGTGTACGTAGGTACGTACGTATGTATCTCACATAACTCAAAAACGATTAGCTGCAGAATGTTAAAATTTTGTTATATGGCACTGAAACATCTAGTTGCGCACCTGTCTTTTGATAGCATTCGGCGACACAAAAATGAGTACGTATATAGTATCTATATACCCAGCCTTTATATTCGCAGTCGTTAGTCGTAGACACATACTTCCATTTACGAAAAGGTTTTAAATGACGAAAATATGTTGTGGCAATGTCAAATGTGATAAAAATTTTATTTTGGACAAATAATGATATTTAACTTTTAATGCGGTGTCCCATTTCCTGTACGTGTATTTGGGAAAGTTTTATACTCTTTATGAAAAAATAAAATTAAGAATTTTGTCTCCAGTATGACAAAAATTGACCCAGATATTTAAGTGTAGGTTTTTATGTCAGTTTTCAACTTGCCTTGAGGAGTCGGTTAATTAAGTTAGAATAATTCGAGGAAATAGGTTTAAATGAAGCACAGCAAAAAACATGTAGAAATTAATAGGCGTACGAGGAAGTCATGTGATGTTCACATCAATTTTTTTGAGAAAGCTTCCCTTGCATCATCTCTTATTATAAAGCACATTCTTATTTGCCAGTATAATCACCTCCTTAGTTTATTAGCTCTTGCTGTAATACAATATTTCTTACAAGGGTAATTATTGAGCCATGAGACTTAATGTATATTCGTTTTAATCTGATTTCTAAGTGTTACATAATTTCATGGCATATATTTCAATCAAACGTTTCCAAAGTGATCTAAAGGTGTTTCTTCTTTCTCTTTCAAAGCCAGAACTTTGACATACCATTCACAATGCTGATATACCTTCCCGGTTACTATTGGTTATTAAAGATAGAGGCTTCAAAATTCATTTCAGTTTTTATGAAATCAAAACGTGGAAACTCTTTATCTATAATTTCTCGATTGAAGAAGATATAGATTTTATACAGGAGATTTGTTGCCTAGTGTTGAGATCTCTTCCAATGTGATTTTTCATTTACCGGTTTTGTCTAAAAAAGATCCTAAATGGATTATACTTCTGATCAGGAAGAATCGGTCCTATTCATATATGAAGAGTGATATATGAGACATTTTTGTGCAACATGTAGCAGATAAATTTACATTTTATAATATACCATCTAAACTATTGTAATAAAACGGAAAGTTACTTTTAACTTGGTTTGTTAATGGAACAACTAATTTAATGACCACCGCAGTGTCTTTGAAATAGGATGCAATTATAATTGCATTTAACCCACGAAAGATAAATTTCTGATCATTCCAAGTTGAAAAATTGTCGAAATGTTTGTGTTTACTTGAATGTTTACTTTTACAAACATGTGTATTTATCTTGCTGCAGTGTAGTTTATTGGAATTCGTTTTGCATTATTTAAGAATTTTTTCGTACATGGACTTTAAGCAATAAATTACAGCAGCTACCTGTAATTTATTTGAATCTTTTTATCTTTTATCATGGACCTTTCAACAATATTGAAGCTATTATGTGCAATTTATTTGAATTACTTAAGAATTATTTTCGTTCATGGGCTTTACGCAGTACTGGAGCTAGATGTAATTTATTGCAAGTAGTTTTGCATCATTTCATATCTGTTTCCCAGTAATCTGTTATTAGCAAAAGAGGCATTATGTCTTGCTACCTAATAAAAGTAATAATTGATAAAATAAAGATTTCGGAAGATAACAGTTATTTAAAAAACCAAATAAAAACTGATTACATACAAAATTAAGTGAGGGATTTAAATCTCTTGGACTCTGATAAAACTGAGCGTGATGTCCAGTTCTTTTTTCCCAACTACCATGGAAATCATATGTCATCACATTCAGATGCTCCACCAGGCTGAAAATTAAAACATTTATTTAGCGCAAGACAGTGATTAGAATATATTAAAGCAGTTTAAAAACATGAAAAAATATTCCAATGATGTTATTTAAATACAGATTACAATTGAACATAACTGATTATATTAAATAAAAATTACAGTTTAAGCAATTGCATGTTAAATAATAAATGCTACTGATTTAGTGAAAATGATTAAAATAAAATCATTAAATGAAATCAAATTAATTGCTGCCTGATTAAATGAATGAAATAGATTAAGTTTTATGAAAAAGTTAACTCTTAAAATTCTCAATGCTATGTTTCTAAGTGATGTTTTCAACATACGTCATATAATTGATTAAAACCTCAACACAAGAAAGACTCAGCGCATTGTAAGCATACTAATGCGCTCTAGAGGATGGAAGAGATCTGTTTCATAGCGATACCAAATGAGCAGGTAAAAATTATACTTTATGTAGACTTAGCAAAATAAACAACTAGAAATAGTTCAAGAAGGAACAACAGAATTCAGACAAATTTCTCATTGTAAATACAAATCTGAACTCACTAAATTAATTCTTTGAAACGACAGACTCAGATGCACACGTAATATATATAAGGTTATCTTTACTCCACAGACAGAACAGCTGGTCCACTTATGGATGGTGCTCTATCAGCCTATTTAAACCTTTGATCTTTTCTTTGCTGCTAGTGCTTGACTTCTAAGAGCCTTAACCAGTAAATTTATATAATGCCCTAAGGCCTTTTCTGCTAATTTAAATATATAAATGGTGCCTTTGCACCGACACCCGGAGGCGAGAATCTTTCTTGACAAAGTCAGGCATTTCAAATGGAGAGGCAATTGAGTTTTTAGAGCAATGCACTTCATCTATGGCATTTCTATGAAGACAATACGAATAAGCAATTTATGATATCAATTATATAAAAATGGCATTTTAAAACGACAAATTCTTTCTTATATGGCATTCAAAGGCTTAAGGCATAAGTAGATGTCATAAAACCCCTTTCATTTATCAATCAAAAGCATTCAAGTGAGCAATTAATACGGCGATTTTCTTGTGCCCTGTTGCAACTCAACTCTTGCTGAGATTCGATGGCTGAGTGACGTCATCTCGAACTATGAACTCTCGCTTAGAGATCACGAGAACTTGGAACTGAGAAATCTGTATTTTCGTTATTCAAAAAATGGAGTCATTCATACAAGTTTCATTACATCAAAATCACGAGTAGCACCTTTGAAAAAATTATCACTTCCCAGATTGGAATTGATGGGTGCTTTGATAGGGTCCCGCTTGTCAAAATACATCCAAAAGAAACTTCGGGACATTGATTTAATCGTATATATGTGGACTGGATTCTAGTATAAAACGTTACACTGGATTCGAAGTGATGTGAAAAAGGTGGAAGCCATTCGTTCAGAACAGAGTGAAAGGAAAATACAGAAGAATTCAGATGTCTTGAACTGGAGATATACGCCTGGTGAACATAATCCAGCTGATTTACTAACTAGAGGTGAAAATGTCAAACATCTCAAGCAGAATAGCGCATGGTGGGAAGGGCCCACGTGGTTAAAGGAAGAAAGGGAACACTGGCCAAAACCGAAATTATGTTCCACAAAGAACAATGAAGATTCCAACAAGGAACTAAGAAAAACATCGAAGGAAGTTTGCGTAAATGCATGCGTTACCGAACCTTCCGAAGATTTATTTAAACCCCCAAATTACAGCAATTTACATCGACTTTATCGATTTACTGCATGGTGCTTAAGGTTCATCAACAATGTTAAAAATACCTCGAAGTTATCAGGAGGTTTGCAGGTTACCGAATTGGAAATGACAGAAACTTATTAGATCAAACTTGTTCAGGAGCGAAATTTCACAAATGAAATACGGGCATTAAAGAAAAATGAGGAATTAGGTTCAAAATCAAAACTGAAGTCCCTTAGTCCATTTGTAGACGGAAGTGGTGTAATTCGTGTTGGTGGACGATTAGAAAATTCAAACTTGGATTAAAAACAAGCACATCCAATCACATTGCCCGATAAAGATCATTTGTCTGATCTAATTATTCTTCACAGTCATCAGGTGGTAGGGCACGGAGAAATAGCAGATACGGAGAAATAGCAGATTATCCCCTTCAAGATTTTGCAGGTATACCCAGAGAAGAATTCATCCAGTGGTCCTGGCCGAACCCATTGGAACAAGGTAAGCAGTTTTGTTTTACCTTGATTAATTAGTTAGAACTAACGATAGGATATAAATAATAATGTGCTCTTCTTCTTACTGAACTTAAAAGAAGTTGAGACCAAAATGCAATCGTCCAGTCCTATCAGACTTTCACATTTTACTTATTGGCTGTGAGATATTACATGGTAAAATGTAGCTACATTGATTTTCTTAATACTTGAACACATATAATTTCGATCATATATAAAGATAAATATTGAATATATATAGTGAATAAATGAAGAGACTAAAATGTAATGAATAAATGGAGTATCATAAATTGGCAAAGTCCATCCCTCTTTACCAGAAAAATTAGTCTTTAAAACCTGCTTTGACAAGCATAAAATATAAGTAAAATACGTAAAATAAAAGCTTGAAGTAAAATAAAATATATACATATGTACACTACCCCCACAATACATTGTGATTGGATAGACCTCGGTCACTTTATTACACTTTCCACCATGGGACCATAATTAGTACGAGTTCCATTAATTTTGCAGAAATTTATCCATAGATTTCTAATACAAATTAACTGACATAATGTGAAATAGCCATTTCACCTATTTTTGTATATTTTTTAATTGCAAGCCATACTTAATCAAGTAATTTAAGTACTGAATATTTTTAAACTATACTATTTTAAGCTAAACTATACTATTTAAACTACACTTCTATTTTTTCATTAAAAGTACGAAGAAGGAAGTATTACTGATCCAGAAGTCAAACAACAAAAATCAGCGTTAATTCACAAAATTTTCACAGGACTAGTTTCGATGGTTTTACCGAACCATCATCTTCAGCTGCAAAACCGCAAATGAACAAGATAGGAAATAATGTTTAGATAAGATAAGAAAGACTGGACAAGAATAAGCAAGTGGCGCCATCTGTTGGCGAAACCAGAACTAAAACATAATTTCTCTAAAAGCCGAAGGCAAATTTGGATGGAATTAGGATCGTTAACTAGAACAGAAAGATTTTTATGATGTGAAATGCCTCTAGAAATCCAGTTCTCCAATGGAAGATGTTTTTTGAATAATTTTGGCAGCAGAAAATTGAAATGTGGATTTTCGGACCAACAATGTTGAGCAACAGAAGACTTCTGTGTTTCCTTTTTTCTAACATATGCCTCATGTTCCTTGACGCGAAATTTTAAAAGGCTCTCTTAGTTTGGCCAATGTAATTAAACCGCACTGGCAAGGAATCCTAAAAACCCAGGAATTCATATCCGGAATGGGGTCCTTGAGTATAGAAGTTGAATTTTTGATGGGAGAGTAAACCAACCCGAAAGTTAATTTCTGCAAATATGTGCAACTTTATAGCTAATTGATGGAAGAAGGGAATGACAACAAATTTTTATATCTCCTAAAATGTTCACCCAACATTATCAGCAGTAAAAAATTCTCATCTCAACACACTAAAAGCCACACTCTTATTTTAGGAGATTATAAAATTCTGTTGTCATTCCCTTCTTTCCATCAATTAGCTATAAAGTTGCACATATTTTGCAGAAATTTAACTTCGGGTTGTTTACTCTCCCATCAATAAAATTCCAACTTCTATACTCAAGGACCCCATTCCGGATATGAATTCCTGGGGTATTTTTAGGATTCCTTGCCAGTGCGGTTTAATTTACATTGGCCAAACTAAGAGAGCCTTAAATTTTCGCGTCAAGGAACATGAGGCATATTTAGAAAAAGGAAACACAGAAGTCTTCTGTTGCTCAACATTGTTGGTCCGAAAATCACACTTTCAATTTTTCTGCTGCCAAAATTATTCAAAAAACATCTTCCATTGGAGACTGGATTTTCTAGAGGCATTTCACTTCATAAAAATCTTTCTGTTCTAGTTAACGATCCTAATTCCAATCCAAATTTGCCTTCGGCTTTTAGAGAAATTATGTTTAGTTCTGGTTTCGCCAACAGATGGCGCCACTTGCTTATTCTTGTCCAGCTTTCTTATCTTATCTAAACATTATTTCCTATCTTGTTCATTTGCGGTTTTCAGCTGAAGATGATGGTTCGGTAAAAACCATCGAAACTAGTCCTGTGAAAATTTTGTGAATTAACGCTGATTTTTGTTGTTTGACTTCTGAATCAGTATTTATTCGGCGTGTTATTGTGTCTTAATTAAGGAAGTATTAATTGTTTAATTAAAGAACCTAAGTTAAATCTGAAAACAGTTAAATTGTAACAAATTTAGCAAATTCAAAATCTCATACCATCATATATTTAAAATAACATGCTTACTTAGTTATGGCAGCAACATCATACGCTGCATCAATTTCTTCAGCGATACCTGAAACGCTAGCTGTCAGCAGAAGATTCTCATTATCAAAAGCATCTGCTAATTCCTGAAATAATTGTGCAAACTGTTATGATAAGTGCAATTTACGAACATCTGTTAAATACAGCATTATTTATGTTTTCTACAGAGAAAAGTGATTTTGTAACTCTTCATTTTATATTACTTTATCCGCTAACATGCACACCACAATACTTAAAAACGCGGCGTGCCGGACCTATACAACAATTCGCAAGTAGTGTGAATTCCGTGTAATCCAATACAGCCAGAGCGTAAAGCATGAGCCGAAGACATCAACTGCAAGATAAAAAGCGATGGAGAGCTTTCGGGGTGTTGTAAGCCGGTGCAAGACAACTCGTTGCTGCGAGAGAGCTGAATGTACATCGTAGTGTGGTCAGTAGGCTAAGGAGTCATTACCAATGGAATGAACCTCTGTAGAAGACGTGGGTCTGAACGCTAGAGGATTATGGCAATCCCTTCCTACTGCTGTATCTAAGAAGGATCACTAGCAGCACGAGCACGACAGTTGATGTCGCATCTCTATTTTGCTGCAGGATAGCCCATATCCCACCAAAGTGTGTTGTGTTGACTACATGAAGGTGGACTGTACATCCGATAACCTGTGGTTTGTGTCCTTTTGTTCCCATAGCACGTCAGAGCGTGGTTGACTATGGCCTATGAAAATCGCAGTTGGACACCAGAAAAGTGAGACTAGGTATTCTTTACGGACGAGTTCCGATTTAACATCCAAAGCGATTCCCGAACGCCAATGATATGACGAGAAACAAAGATACGCTATCGGGCGCAAAACGTCGTAGCAAGAAACCGTTACAGAGAAGAAGGTTTACTTGTATGGGCTGGGATAAGAAGAACGCACCGGCCTCTACGTGTTCCTGGTGGTGGCGTCACAGCAGTCCGATATCGCAACGAAATTCTATATCCTCTTGTGTGTAATTTTATTACTGCAGTGGGTACAAGCGCGATATTATTGGACGATAACGCTCGCCCGCGTAGAGCTAAAGTGCGGAGTTAACATGAGGGTAAAATCATTGCATATCTGCCTTTGCCTGCTATATCAATGAGCCTGAATCCCATAGAACATCTGACATGTTGGGACGATGGATAGCAGATCACAGTGTGTCAAAAGGCACCCTCTCCGAGCTTAAATATGCATTACTACAAGAATGAACTGTACTGCCACATCAAGTGGTCAAAGACACTTGCCAGCTTTCCTTGCCGTTGCAATGATGCATTTCAGCCAAAGAGTATCATACCCGTTATTAACGTGACATTTCCATTGCCCTTTCTTTCATCCCATTTGGTCTTTCGCGATATGATGGTCGTAATACATGTGGTTTTGTATGTTTTTGCTTTATCGTTTGCTATGTGAATTAGTAATGCCATACAAACCTGTTGGATCAGTTTCACGCATTTCCATTAAATAGTTTTTGTTTTATTTCGTGTTTTACCTTTATTTTGTGCTTATTTTTGACAATATGTGTTTCCATATGTATCATTTTGGCAATGTATGTATCAATTTATATATCTTTGGGCATTATATAAAATCTGAAAGATTTCAGAATTTTTTTATTATTATTATTTTAATTTTTGAACGTCTAGTAGGACCACAAATCGATCAACTTTTAAACTGGGAAAATAGTAGAATTAGAAAGAGAGATGAAGGCAAAAACTCTCTTGACAAACTGTCTTACCTATTTGATGCGCATTCATCCATGTGACGACTTTCTAGAAGTTTCTCGAATAACATTTTCAAAGCACTACCTTTCAAGGTTTCCAGAAGGCCGGACAAATTCTATACAAGGGCTCGAACAAAACACTTATTTATTTTAGGGACATGATTCGACTTAAAAGTTAAATTAACTTTAAGTTAAACTAAAAGTTAAATTCGACTTAAAAAGAAAATTTGCCTTACATTTGTTCTCTCCTTGGGATATTTACAGCTCAAGACAGACGGAAGAGAACTAGTATCAAGATTTACCGGTCTTCACGCTCCTAGTTGGGCGTATCACACGGTGCCTGTGACCTTATGGGCCTCCATATTAGGCAGAAGGTGGCATCAGACAAAAGAGCAGCACTTGGAAAGCTACTTAAAAACATACACTACACCGCCACCCGCTCCGCAACAGGCGACGGATTAAAAATACGAACTCTCTTTTCACCCCATTGCTGAACAGGTCGATCGGGGTCACTACTCCCGACAAACTGAGACCACCATGGAGCGATGACGCTATAAGCCTGGAAATTTGACTGGTCGTCAAGTGCCCCCGCCAGTACTACACGGGCAGTCCACCAGGCAGAAGGTTTGACATGGAATACCTGAGTTACAGCAGTCTGGCCGCTGCATTGTCCGCTACCAATACCGTGGTTTTACACGGAATTCTGGTCAAGAGGCCAAGTCACGCCCGCTACCGATATGACCTGCCCGGTGGCCTATAGTCTGGACGATTTTATGCTAGTTGTGGCAGGAAGGAGTAACCTCAAAAGGAGATCTCAGTACTGTTTTGATCTGTTCTGCCAATGGGCCAGAGCACATAAGCTTCAGATTTCGGCTGAAAAAACTAAAGCTTTACTCATAGGACGCAGCAGGCAGCTTAGACGCAACCCAAGCATTAAACTCCATGAGATACCGGTAAAATGTTTCCCTTAATTGAAATATCTTGGGTTATTACTCGACAACAGACTTTCCTAAATGCCCCATGTCAGGAACATTAAGACTCGAATTAGCATCCTAAGCAACAACATGAGACGCATGACTTCAATAAATGGGGTATCTCATTAAGCTACTAAAATTTGGCATAAACCATTACAGGAAAAGTAAAACTTATGGAGCAGCAATCTGGGGTGGGAACTTGCCTCTCATATGAGAAAATCCCTGCTCTCTATTCAGAGACAGCAGCTACTTCAAGTATGCAGGGCCTACCGTACCACGTCAACACTAGCCCTACAACAACTGGCAGAAATTCCTCCCCTAGATTTGATAGTAGAAAGGGAGACAGCTATCGTAAGGGTTACCAGGCTGGGTTAAACGTCAACACTTATAGGGTCATAGTTATCACTACTCGGACTACGAGGAGCAAAACAACTGCAATAAATTTCATCCAGCAACTTTTAATCTCTTCGACGGTATCAGCATAAACGACCAACCAAGTCAGAGCAACAGTAATAACCTTTTCACAGCGCCTTCTGTAGACTGGAAAATGGAGTTGTAACATTCGAGTGGAAAAGGAAACTAGGCTTGAACAACTCGGTATACTAAGCAGAGCTTCTAACTATTAGTGCTGCAATTAGATTTTGTGAACACATGTCAACAGGAGAAATTCTCCATACTCAGTGATTCGGCATCAAGTCTGGCCGCTATCGCAGGTCAAAACAGCCGGAGTCCTTTGGTATACCGAATTCAGAAACAGCTTTTGACAGCGCCTATTTCACAAAGACCCACTTTAAAATTGGTTCCCGCTCAAACAGGGATTCAAGGCTATGAATCCGCTGACCGCCAAGCAGGGAGCCAACTGCACGGATATATTAGAAAGACCAACTAAACTTCCTAGGTCTCACATTAAGCGAACAACTTTGACAAGTCTGCTACAAAAATTGGCAAAGTAGATGGACAGAGGCATAGGTAGGACGAAGGACATTTCGCTTACCAGTAAAAGTTAACATGGAAATAAAGACCCATTGTGCTAGCTTAACACAGTTCTTGACAGGTCATGGGCCATTCCCAGTATACCTGAACAGATTCAGACTTAGGGATACTCCTCTTGTTCTCGAATGCGAAGAGGAAGGCGACACGGACCATTATTACTTTTCATTGTGTACGTACAAGAACCTGGCACTTGAAGAAACCAGGGGACTCTGCCTAGGCATTGTGGACGTCTAACACACTCAAAAACAGACTAGCCCATGGTAAAATAGAGAAAATCTCAAGACACTGCCTAAGCAGAAACAACCGTGAATAATACATTGTCTCGAATGTTCAGAACTTAAAGCAGATAACCAGAATAACGCTTAGTGCCTGCAGTTATCAAACTGTAAAACTGTTATTAGTATGTAATACTCAACCTTGTTACTTTGGATTCTTCCCCGCCGTGATGGTATATAAATTCGGTTTGGTTCATGTCCGTGGTCGGAAGCCATCATAGAGGTGCACTGCACTCACTCCCCCCTCGGTCCAACCGTACAAACGGTCTTCCCTCGGGGTTCTGGAACCGCCAAGCTCAAAATGCTTTTTCCCCAGAATATTCTGTCAGGATATAGGATCCAGCCAGTTGCACCCCAGGGAGTAAGACGGAAGAAAAACACAACGAAGTAAAACTTCAAATTAGACTAAAAAACAACTTTGCTTTTGGCGTATATTTAATTAAAACCGATTTCGAGGGCAAACTGTTACAGTTCTCTTTTCGTCACAAGGACAAAGATTCCGCGAATTCTGGTTACAGAACTTTTTTTACTGCTGACGGAGGACCTTACCTGTCCGTCCTCGAAATCTATAAGATTTCAATTAAATGTAAACTAAACACAAGATTGTTCTTTTCCCTAATTTTAAGTTCTGTGTATCTTTCTGTGAACTTTTTTTTTTCAATACAGCGAAATTTTTTTCATACTCTTCTGGTGTAATTAGTAAAGAAATCTGAATGATCTAAAGTTCATATCAGTATTATAAAAACCTTCACTGAAAAAGTATTATTTGGACTTCTAAAAAAGACTTTTAGAATTGCTAGATTTTCCTTAAATTTCAATAATATTGTTGCGTGCGTACGGGTTCGTTATGAAATGAATGCACAAATCCGATGAAAAATGAACAAAATTTATTATTATCACAACAAGAATGCTTAAATTTCCTCAGTATTCGTGCAATATTATAATATCTCACAGTAGTTATCTTTTAACTGCCCAAACGTTCAATAGAACTTAATTCGAAACAGCTAAAGAAAGCTAATCCGCGAATTCGCTACAATCAACAACAGCAGTTTTCTAACTAAACTCTTAAAACAACAACAAACTAACTAATATCACAACGAACTGAGAGTTTTTCCTCCTTTTATAAGATTTTAAATCGCGCGCGATAATTTTCTGGAACTTTCTTGAAATCAAAAAGAGATATTTATTTATTAAAATGGTAAATGCACGTGCTCTTGTATTTTTAATTTTCCGGCTTAGCTTTCCTTTAATATTCGTCACGCGCTGTACTGCACGGGGAATAAAACAATTTAATTTATAATTCAACTAACATTAGCTATTTAAATACCAAATCCGTCATAATATTGTAATAAATTATTGTTCTTACCGTTAATAATGTAACAAAGTTTTCTGTATCATTAGGATTTACGCCACAGTTGCCTTGCCAACAATTCGGGTACTCCCATGCAACATTAAGACCATCGAAGTTGTGATTCTTCAAGAATGGAATGACTGTACTGATGAAATTAGACCTCTTGTTCTCATCTGCTACTAAAGCTGAGTATTTGCTTGAGGCACTGTCATTCCAGCCACCAATAGAAAGAAGGATCTTTAAATTTGTGTTGTTGCTTTTCAGCGATGTTACTTTCTGTATGAAATTAATAATGTCAAATAAATGCAAATGAAACTGTTTATTAAATTATTTAAAATAATTACATTACACAGTCTCTCCGGAAAGTTCCGAGACAGATTTTTTCCCTGGCGTTAAGCAACGTCAGCGCTGTAACTACGGTGGCAGCTGGAACTAATAACTGTAAACAACCAATGTTCAAGTGCTCAGTCTGTAGTACGCTATGGAGCAACGAACAGGAAATCGATTTCATGCTTTAGTCGGAAAAATGGCTACGCAGGCATTCGAGTTCATGAAAAAAGGTTTACGACGATAATCGCTTAACTCGTACACATTGGTTTAAACGTTTTACAAAGGGACAGTTATCGCTCGAGGATGACGAAAGAACAGAACGTCCCACCACAAGTTCGCCAAACAGAAACATTGAAATCTCCTAAAAACTAACTGTCATCTCTCATGCAAAGCTATTTCAGATGAGCTGAACAAATCTACTAACAAGCGTTCAGAACATTCTCCGAAATGTTTTGATGAAAAGAAAAGTGTATGCAAAGTTTGCCCAGCACTTTATGATTCCCGAAAAAAGACAACAACGTGTGAACGCTTGTCACAACTTGATTGATACTAAAAATGCACATAAATGTATTCTGGAAAAAGTCATCAGAGGTGACGAGACTTAGTGCTATCAGCACGAACCCACGACAAACCGATAAATACAAAATAGATTAATGTTGATTTGCCAAGACCGAAGACAGTACGAATGACTAAACAAACATGAAGACAATGTTCACAACATTATCAACAAGGAATTTGTTCCCGCCGGCAAACTTCGAAATTCCTAGTTTTATCAGGGTGTCATGAATTGACTCTACAAGAGGATTCACCGTGTTCATCCGGAGCGATGGAACTTTGGAAGAGGGATTTTTTCTTGCTGCGCGATAATGCGCCTGCTCACGCAGCTGGAGTTGTGGTACATTTTCGGAACGTAAAAAACGTACATTCATCCTCCGTGTTCAGCTGATTCGGCGCCGAGTGACTTTTTTTTATTTCTGAAAATCAAACTTCACACGAAGGATCAGTGCTATCGCGACATAACTGATATTCATGCTACAGCGACACGTAAGTTGAAAAAGCATAAAAAAAGACTTTTTTGACAATTTCGTATGGTAATATGAAAGCTCTGTCCATTGTACTCAAGTGGGGGAGATTATGAAGAACACCTTAAGCGTTGAAACCTTCATACCAAGTTTTCTATAGTTTTCATTAATCCAATCTCTCGGGACTTTCCGGAAAGACGGTGTTGTTACTTGAATACAAGAAAAATACAAAAATAATAATTATTGATACATTCATAAAAAAAAACTCTAGTTTTGATTTCTCGAGATTTAGATAAAGAGTCATAGAATATAACATTCGAAGTTTCTTTTAAATATATCGGGAGCAATAACATCTTAATATTAAAAAACATCTAATATTTTTTGTTCTCTTCTGCCAATTAACTATACTTACCTAACCCACATTTGCCCTCCTTTTAGTTGGTTTAATTCTACTAAACATTCCTTGCATTTATTGAAATCACATGAATAGCAGGTAATTTAATAAATATTGCAAAATTAAGGTTACCATTTTATTTTCATTTCAAAATTTCATAAAATATTACTTTAGTTACACAAATCAATTTTTTTTTATCTAAATAAACATCGAAAATTTACTCTAAGCTTTCAAAAGTGTTTGAAAGTAAGACATACCATAAATTTTAACTCTTATAACGAATTTTTATTCGAGCTTTTGGTTTAACGGATTTTTGGGTCAGTCTGTATTAAGCTTTGATTTATCGAATTTTAAAATTAATTAGGGATGGTCTAAAATTTTGCCTTTAAGATAGTATGGATTTTTTTATTAATTTCACGGTATGTTTTTAAAAGATGAAATTTACATTTTTTATTAAAACTCAATTGATTTCCATTTTTCTACATGCATTTCTAAATATGAAAAATGTCAAAGAACTATATTGAAGTGCTAAAATTAATTTTTTAAACATCAATGCATTAATACCATAACAGTAGTTAAATACTTGATTAATAATTTAATTAATTTTTTTAAATTACTGTTAAAATTTGTAGCAGCAGTATATTAATATATTCAAAATATAATAATAATTATCACCCCAGAATCGGTTCTAAGTAACTGTAAACAAAAATACTAACAATTTGTTCTTAATTACGCCCACCAATGACCGAGTGGTAAATTCGCTCAACACTGTAGTTCCGGCCTGGGTTCTATCTTAAACGAACGAGCTGGCTATATAGGCATTTCCGTGGATTTCTCCGTATGTAAGGTGTATATGAGCCAATTTCCTTTAAAAAGTTATCCACAAAGGGATCCCTTCCCTTAGGGTAGATAGCCCTTGCGTGATTTGTCATAATGAAATAAATTAAACAAAACAAAAATTATATAAATTACTTGAAAGCATTCTAATAATGAATTGAATATATTGAGTTTCCAGAAGATTAAATTACTGTTGAGTTGATAATATTTTTGATTGACTTGCTCAATCCTTCGATCTCAATTCCACAAATGCACTGGTATTGTGTAGAGAATACAGATGCCTAAAATGAACATCACAGATAAACAGTCGTATTTTAGATGAGAATCAACTGAAACTTGGTCTTCATATGATGAATTAATGCCTACGAAATATACGTAAACAGTAATTTAAAGTATACATAGAATACAAACTGCAGAAGACACCTAGACGATATGATTTGAAACAAAACATTCAATAGCTTTATGAGGCTTTATATCATTCTTATATGTTATCTTGTAGCATTTCTTAAACCTTTAAACAATGCTATAAAACTCTATATTCTAGATAATTCCTCAGAGTGAAACGATAAAAACGTTCTGCTCTTTTATTTTTAATAAAACAGCTGCTGCTTCTTTAAACACCATTTACCATAACAAACACCATATATATATATATATGTCATATTAAAAGCAAAGGAAAAGACGGAACACTGTAGATGCGTGATTAGACCCACATTGAAGAAGATTTTGATTGCCTAGTATGCTAGTATTGCTAACGTGGTAATATCTAAAGAACTTGGCAGTCGAGGCAGTTTTAATTCCATTTTTATTTGCAACTGATATTTGTGGCCACAATCACTTGGCACTCTAGTCGTGCCTTTCCACAGAAGATTTACATTTTTGATATTGTTGAGATAGAAAGCAAGCCAGCGAAATTACATCTTAGCACAGTAGAGAGCAAAAGCTGAAGTGCGTAGTTATGAAGGATGGAAGCACGGCGAAGAGAAAAGTTTTGGTTTATAAAGGCAGTTTCAGTTTCAAATTATTACATCATAAGAGCTGCGCGGGCCATACAGTCATCTAGAAATGACGCAATGTAGAGAAGTTATTACGATTTTAGAATAGAGAGGAAGAATTAATGTTTATGGTTATATTATAATTCTGATTCATATATTTTTATCTTACATATATATATATATATATATATTATCGCGTTGGAAAATTATTTCACATGTCTGAACTTTTAAGATTTAAATTCAGATTTTATAAAATTGAATAATTGAATAGATTGAATAGAAATTTAAACTTGGAATGGGGAGTTTGTTCAGATATGCAGAAGGACGAAACGCGCTTCTAATGAGTTTTTGCTGTTTGTATGGAGAGGTTCCCTCTTGCTAAAACGGAATTTTTCTTTGGAATCAGCAATAAATCTCTTGTTTTATTCTTTAGTTTTGCATTTTAATTAACAAATCCAGATTAATTATTTACAAACTCCAATTTCTTCAATACTATATATTTGCTGTATAAATTTCACTTCACATTTCATAGGAGACAACTTTCATTTATATATTCTCTATTATATATATTGTAAATATGTTCACTTAAAATTATAATTTACAATTTATACCAATTACATGCAAATTTTCTTTCACGTTTTATTTCAAATGACTTGTTCTCATTGTTTTTAGTTTCATTATATTTTTCTTTATGTAATACAATTCCAACTGAAAATGTTGCGGAAATTACAAACATAAATAAAATAGTCAATGATTAAAATACAATTTATAATCAAAGTATTGAGATTTATCAAACTGGTTCGTCACTTACTTCGTAGTAATTTTGTTGAATATCTACATTTTGATCACCGTAATCAATCTGATAAGTGTTCTGGTTTAATATAGCGAAGTCATAGTTGATGTGAGTGCAAAGGAAGGGATCGATGAGGTCCGGTGTAAAATGTCCTTTGTAATAAGAAAGACTGTCAAAGTCGCAGACTATTTTTCTCAAGAAATTTGCCTCAACTGAAACACTGCTGATATTTTGAGCAACTGTTAAAAAATAAAACAAACATAAAATAACAATTATTGATATTTGTATATCGATAAATTACATTATCAATAAATAATCTGAATTTCATGTACATGAACATATTTATTACATATACGAAATGGTTTAAAATAGTTTCCTGAAATTTTTTATAGTAACGAAACATTTTACCATATGAAATCAGAGGATTTATAAGTAACTATAAGGTTTTTAAAAATAAAAGTAGAACTTAAATGTCATCTTTAGTTACAGTCAGCTCAGCTTGTTACAAAGGAAGATAAATAGCAACATTCATGTACTTTGATTTTTTTCCCCTTGTTATTATCTGGATAAAATTTTGAAATCAATTTCTACATACTTTTAGGAAGTCGATTTACTTGAAATTTTTAATATATATATTGCTGTGAAAATATAATATTTTATAATGATTCTTTCTATGATATACATACAGTTAAAACCCGCTCTAATTAACTTCAAGGGACAGAACATTTGGTTTGCTGCACTCAGTCTGATGAGTAAAATGTATTATCTAGTAAAACAAAGTAAAAATTGATTAATGAAACAAAAACACTGATTGACATTGTTGTGTAGAGCGTAGTTTCGAACTCTACGTACAATCAATGTTATGCGCAAAAGCGTGTCAAAATTATGCACGAAAATACGAATGAAGCTCTGGGAATTTTTATTTCTTTCGTATTTTCGTGCATAATTTCTTCTCATTTTTTAAATGGATTTAAAACTTTAGAACTAAACCAATGGAAACGCTTTAAGTATTAAACGCAAGAAACTTGTTTTAATATTAAAACAAGGGCTTATATTGTTTGAAAGATTTAAGCGAATCGACAATAATGATACTCAAAAATTCAGAATCGACGTGCAAATCTTTCATGATACTGTTAAACACGAAGAAGTTAGAGGACTTTACAAGAGATACGACAGTGTGGCAGGTCCTTCTAACCAGAGCATAAACCTCTAAACACACGAAATTTTAGATTCAGCCATGCTGATAGAAACGAACAGAAGGAGTGCCAATCAACGGTGAAACAGGCATCGAGAAATCCAAGTTTTTCAATGAAAGATTGCTGATAATACATCGAAGAAGATAGTGACAATTACATTAGTCGCGAGACAGTAACGACCTCTGTTGAAACTCTGTTGCACTTCATCGACAAAATGGATTAAATGAGAATGATAAAATAGCAGTTCGACAAATACGTGGTTGACAAATATTTAAGTATTCTAAAAAAAGTAAAATTACTGATATTTTTAAGAAATGGACGCATATAATATGCATGAAAATTTATAGATTGGATTATCTGGATTTTAGGAATATTTGTAACCGGCTTCGCCGGCAGCAGCTCGGAAAATCAAGAGTATATCAAAAGAAGTGAATAATAAACTCTAATTTTAATTACACTTACTATTACGTGAAATTATTATTATTTTCTTTTCTTATTTCAGTTTCAACGTATGTTTATAATTTTTCACAATAAATACTTAACCTAAAAATTAAGGTTCAGAACCTAAAAATTACGGTTCATACACATCTCTCGACCCCGCACTTAATCATGAATGATTGATTCATAACATCATATAAAAACACTAAGATGAATAATAAAAATATTGAACAATTATCATTTGCTTAACTTCTAAATGGAAAAAATAATCTGTCAGCGTTTGCTGCACAATGCAGGAATATTTTATCTATATTCTGGTCACAAAACTGAAAAGGACGCTATCATTTTTGGTTCTACCCTTTGTGTGAGTAAAATTTGTAATTACAAACACTGAAATTGGGAGTTTAATTTTCGTTTCTTGTGTTGCTTTAAAATTTTTATCAGCAGGAGGAAAAGGATCTTCGACATTAGCATTTCTCATTATATTTCTATCGCAATAACTTCAACAGGCAGATATTCGAATGTTTGGAAAAGCTATGTATTACTCTCTGCAAATTTTGATCTTCCATTTAGAGACATAAAATCCACTTTACTTTTGCTAAACAACCTTTGCTAGACCAACATATTAAAATTAGTTCGGATGGTTCGCTGTCTAGCAATTCATGCAGACCTTTCTACCCCGAGTATTGCATCAAGAAGTGCAACGTTATAATCTATTTGATTGTCTATTACTCCAGTTTGGGCAATGTATTTTCAATCTCATTATGCTTAGCTTTTATCAACTGTGTTCCTAGTACCTTTGTTATATTTTCAATGAATAGAAATTATCCAGGCTCGATTTTTCCACATTATAACAATTGTAGAGTTAAATAAATTCTATTCCACACAATTATCAGTTTAGCCCTACCTATTCTGTGTTTTTCTAACAATGCTCACTTTATCTTTAATTCAGATTGCTAACCATATGGATAATGATTGAATAAAAATAATCATCAGAATAGAGTGAAGACAATTAAGTCAAGAATATATAAAGATTTGTCCTTTTGGAATAGATAGATGAAAGAACACATTTTCATCACTAATTCATCATATCCAATATCCAGAGAAAACGCAATCATTTCTCCCAAAATATGTATAATATTAAAGAAAGAAAAATAATGGGAAACACTTAAAGATTACGCACATCACTAGAATACATGCTGCAAAGCAGTTCGGCTTTCCTAATAACTTTCGCTTTATAACTTAACGTTGGCAACTTTCACCGCGTGAAAGGCGCTCGACAAATGCCGAGGTTACTATTACTCCTATCGGCTGTTACAGGACTTAGTATATTCCATTACATAGTACCGAAATTTCTTTTTTCAGCTACATATATAAGTAGAAAAATTCTCTTGTTCTTGCTGGTACAGTGGTATCTTCTTAAGCTACTATTTTTCTAGACGGATTTATTTTCCGTCCAGAAAATATTTATTATTTATGATTTATTTTCCTTTATCTTTAATTCCGAACAGAGTTATATCCTCAGAGGCAGAATGCATATCGTTAATTTTAAATCCCAAGAAAAAAACTATGTTTTAGTCTAATACGAGTATGTAAGGGTCTGTAATATCTGATACATATGCCCTGTGTTTGTAGTCGGTATTTCCAAACCTGATGTTAACGTTTAACGTTCCATCGAAATCGATTTAATCGATTTTATCACCGGCCGTCGTTTGAAGGGTAACGTAAGACGGCGTTCAGATGAGTTTACTTTTCAGTCGTTGAGCCAGAATCTTTCGTTTGATGACAATATTGGCTGCTGTATTAATGGTCATTTTACAAGAATCTCCACGTATGTGTCCCATGAAGATAACTCCATTACTGCCGCCACTCACTGCAGAAATCTTCAGCGCTTTAAAATGAAGTATCTCAATATCTGGCACTAATTAGTTTCCTTTCTGTTTGCTGGACGATTTTATTTCCTGTGTCTTAGCGTGTCATGCAATTCCTTTGTACATTCCATCCACCACTGCAATTCCAGTACTATAGGACAGGCTTCTTGCCATTCTGCTAAACTGGTCTAGACGAGCAGTCACTTCATCCACTGGCTCCTGAACTAGAGCAGCCCTGACTGGGTGGCGGTCTTTACGAGTTACTTTCTGGGATGCCTCGAATTCAGTGGAGGACACTACGGCACTTTTTAGATCCTTGTAATCCGCTGTTCGGAGGCTTTTCTGTATTTGAGGATCCCGGATGCCATTGACGATGTACTGCAGGGACAAGATTTCCCTTTTTTTCTGTTGGACAGTCCGGAAATAAGAGATGAGACAGTTTTAGCTCCCAAAGTGTTTCCGTAGGCCTCTCTTGGCGAGCTTTTAATTAAAGTCTGCTGTAGTCTTTTAAATATTTCTCGCCAAAGCACAGCTCCAATGCGCCAGAAAGAGCTCTGAAGTCAAACCTGCGGCTTTCGGTAGAATTTGAAAGATGCCTGCTGTATGTGTTTTCACAGAAGAGAGAGGTGGCGAATATTAGTTTCCGAATCTCATACATTAGCATTTTACACTATAGAGAACTTAATCTTGAACTCTTGCCAACAGAACCTTTCATCATATCTGGATAGCTTTGGAGAGGGTCTGGAGGACATAGCTAGGAATTTAGAGCCCTCAGAATTGTTTCCTTATCTCACTATGGATTTCTTTAAGCTGTCAACTTTCCTGGAGACAGCAGCAGAAACTCTCTCATTGATTTGTTGTTTGACAGCAGAAACTCTTCGTCAGGTTTGCTGTTCGGAAGCAGAAACGTTTCTTCAGTTTCTCCAACTTTATTTTCAATCATGTCTATTGTACCTTTCATAGCTTCGAATTTAGTTTTTATTATGGTAGCAATTTGCCTTCGCATTTCCTCTTGACTTGCTTCAGTCTTTTCGTGAACTGACTTCACGGATTGCTTCCATCTTTTCTTGACCCACTTTCATCTCTGCTTTTAATGTACTCAGTGGCCTCTTCCATCTTTCCTTGACCCGCTTCCGTTTCTTTCTTTGAACGCAGCAAAGGTTTTCACAGACTGTCTTAGTTGCTCATCCATAGCTCCAATCACTGGTATTCAGTCTCACTTCTGATACCAAAAATTATTACGTTCGTACGGGTTCGTAATAGATTGAATACACACAGAAACAATGAGAGCTTGATAAAATTAATTTCTCAAAAGAAACAATTTGCTGTTCAAGAACGTTTCACAAAATTATTCATGCAGTTGTTCTCAGTATGACAGAGCACAATCAGTAGTAACCACTTTAAACTTCTAAGAACTTTAAACATAAGACGATATAAAAAGTCTAAAATGCGTAAATTCACAGTGATCTGTCAATGTTTTCAGTCCTCTCAGATAAACTGAGAACTCAACTCGGAACTAAATTTAACTGAGGCTCTCTCCGATCTTATATAGTTTCCCCCTGGGTTGAAAAATTTCCAGCACCTTCGATGTCTCGAAATTGATGGAAGGCATACACAGACTAGGCCGTCAATATCGGAACGGCTGCTTTTGTTAGCTGGGCGAGTTCAATTTACGCAGGTAAGAAAAGAGAAAGGAAAGGTTCCGGAATGGCTTGCAACGAGAAGAGTTTTATA